AACTAAACATCAAAACAAAAAAAAATAAATAAACCTATGGTGCAGCCCGGCTACACCTAATCACTGATTCTACAACCCTTTCTCAATACCCAAGTTCAAAGCACTTTTCCCTAAATCTCGATTTTGAAAGAAAAAAAAACATGATTGCGACAAATGATACGTGCAACTTGTCAGAATGTTGCAGTCTCGTATAAACTAAACGCCATTTTATCCTGTACATTTTACTACCACGTTTATGTTGTTAATCAACATTCGCTAACTTTTTTCTTGTTTTTTTTTTTTTAGACCCGGCGCGATGTCGTGTATCATTTCACCCTGGAAGGGTGTTCACCCCTGAACACAAGCCTGCACTGGGGCAAAGCCACAAAAACAGAATCGCGAATTTAACTCCGCGGGCGCCGCTTCTCTGTAGTGACCCAGTGCGCGATGAGAAGTGCACTCAACGGAGCTAATGAAACCGCCCGAACAGGCGACATCTAATCAGAAATATCCCGAAACTTCTGTGTACTGTGTAGTGATCGATACGAAGATCAAATCAAATCACGCGTTAATCAGAACGATGTGTTGAAAATTTGCTCATGCCTACCGTAACAATCTGGCAGTGTAGAAACGACTGCGCTGAGCGCGTATACCTTCTGCAGCATGCATTACGCACAACCGAATTCTCTCGGCAAGAACAAATAAGCCACCAGCATGATGCCAATGATGCGGCGACGTCATGCGCCATGTAATACACAGCGGTGGGATCATTTAGGGCTTAATTAATTCTGAGTAGCTTATTACATTTTGTTCTAAAAATCATGCTAAATCTTTTATTATAAATTTGCTGAGCATTATCGAAAACAACGAAAGAAATCTGTTTCGAAAAAATTTACGGCAAGTAAAACTTTTTTTTTTCTTTTGTGTGGTAGTGTATGTCTTTTTTAATCGTTTAAAGCCTTTTAATTTTTTTTTTTTTAATCTGCAGTTTCGGGATTGTGTTATGTTTATTCTTCACAAGCTCTTTTGCGCCCTGTCTTCCTGCTCAAGCGTAACGTTTTAACATGTCTCAAAAAAACTGAAAAACAAAGGCTTTATTTGAATGAGTTTCAGTTTGTTAAAGACTACCTTTGCACAAACAGCCAATAAGAAACAAAAACCTCGCAGGCGCGTCCTATGACTGCGTCTTTGCGTCAACCGCGAATAAAACAACACGGTGCGTTTATAATTGGGTGTTCCTACGAAACATATTAAACCCACTTGCTCGGCTCAGACTCGAAGGCGACTTTCTTTGGCGTTGTGTCGCCTCGCGCTCATCGCCTGCATGACTCCGGGTCGGCGCAGCACGTCCTTTAAATATTTTTTTATTGGTTTTCTAAGAAATGTAGCGAAGGTTTATTGGACACCACGCCTATCTTTAAAAGTTCTAAACACACTTCATATGTCTCAAACCCTAGGTATCTCTCTAAATAAGCCATAGGCCAGCAACTAACGTAGAAAACCCTTTCTCTCGTTTCCCTTTCCTATCTGCGACTCTGACGATCCTCAGCAGCAGTTCCGATTTGGTGGGAGTTGAACAGTATCTGACCACAATGCCACTAACCCCTTCTGTGCCGCTTATACAATCCGACAAAAGTCAAAACACAATCTGGCACACACAGAAAAAAAATATATATATATTTCCACTTGACACTGCCTGTACTCCTAGAGCTCTGAAATGCTCCGAAGGAGATACAGAGACCATAGTGGCATTTGAATTCGCACGCTACAAAGCATTTCGCCAGAAAAACAAATAAAGGCAATATAACTATTTGCAGCCTTGGAATGACTTGCAGCTTCTCTGCATACTTCCTTCTTTTTTTTTTTTAACCTCTCTGTTCTTCTTTTTCCGACTCTCTCTCTTTTTTTTTTGTGTGTGTTAATTAGTTGAAGTGCAAACACTACAACTTCTTTCACTGAAGACTAACATCAGCTTTCAATTTATTGGCGGCCGTTCCATCGAGCCCTTTTGATCAACCTCGAAAAAATCTCTATTCCCAAAAAAAAAAAGTTGCGTGTGATCAATTATTGTTTAACGTGAATTTAACCTCGATATTTTCATTTTCCTTCGAGATTTTATATTGCACGCTCGCACAGACACTCCACCCACCTAAGGATGCCAAGACGGGACCAATATTTCATCAGTTTTTTTTTTTTTTTTTTTTTTTGTCACTGGTAGGTTTCTGTGTATGAAGTATTCCAGTTGCCTTAAATACTACACAGCAGACCGAGTCTACAGAAAACTAGAAGGTGGTCAAGGCTGGTAACAGGAACTTGAGAAGGAAGCTTCAGGTAGCAGTCAATGTTACAAAAAGCTGCTTCAGACCGAGACGTTATGGACACATGAAACAAAACAAACAAGTCAGTGTTGCTGTAAGTGTCGACCACACCCAGACATCAGTGAAACATGTATGTCAGCAAGATGGCAAACACCTGTATTAAAAAAAGATCTGGCTCGATAATTGCATATGGCACAGGGAAATATAACTTGCAAGACATTTCATATCAATTGTAGTTGTATTCGCGAGCACCTCCAAAAACAAGTCAATTATATTGAACAGATAGGTTAACAACTGTAAGAAAACTACTTCATAGTTGTTACATTAGTGTCTTATGTACTCACCACTTAAGGCCCGTTCACACTCTTGCGACTGCTTGCGACCTCTTAAACCTGGGTTCCTTAAAGGGACACTGACACCCCCCAAAATTTTTTTTTAATTTTTTGCCAGGCGCTTCATTATGGTGTCGGAGGACTACCCAATTAATATTTTGCAACAGAGTAGCGTATTTTTTTAATAAAGCCAAAAGACGCAACTGCTCGAAACCGAAACCGAAACCCGACGGAGGTCGGAGAAGTGGAGAGAAGAGAGTGGAGTGGCGGAAGTCACGTGGCTACACGCAACCGTGTGTTTTTTTGTTTTTGTTTTTTTTCTCCTTCCCGTAGCAGACGACATGCGGCGTACCGGAACTGTTCACCGAGCGATTCTTTTGCAGTTATGTATGTTCCGCTCGGTGTTCTGTACTCCTAGATGAGTTGTTTTGTACATTGAGGAGTTGGAGATGAGTAGTGAGTGCCCGTGGTGAATTTTGATCGGCTCCGAGAAGAATATACCCAAGATGTTGCGTGAAGAGCTGGCTCACATGCCCTGCGTCCGAAACAGAAGTGGCATTGTGCGACAGAGTTTCTGAAAGATCAAAGGGATCGGGACCAATGGCTGGCTGCAATTCCTGTAGACCATTTACGGGCACCTCGGAAAGCGGACGTTACCTGATTTATATGCTCCTTGCATTTTGTGGAAAGTGATTACATTGAGTTCGCAGGTGTCAAAATGTAAATCCCGTACCATTTAATTCAGCGACGTGTCGTCCACAACATTTGTTTCTTATTTTTTGTTTCTTCAGTGATAATTGTTTAAAAAGAAAAAGAAATGTAGACATCAAAAATATTAAAAAAAAAAAAAAAAAGGTTTCACGGGGGATCGAACCCGGTCCTACCGCGTGAGAAGCGGACGTCTTTCCCACTGAGCTACTGGGGCATACCGAAATTGGGGTATCTCTTTCCTTAGTAATAATTCAGCCGATAAACTAAGTTGGAAAGTTTGCTGCCGATTTCTCTCTAGCAAAAGCACTCCCGGGTCGAAGTCGGGATGCACCGCGCATAGGCGACATTCTCACGTAGTAAAGAAATCGTACGCGTGCATACTCAACTCGAAGTAGACACGTCGTGCTTGACGTTTGCGCGAGCGATGTCTTCAGCCACGAGAAGGGAGCGACGGCTCGGCGAGCTCTTCGTGCAAATAGGCTTGGTGGCCGGGCGTGTCGTACGGGATGAATACCAATCCTTTTGATCAGTCCCAAATTTCTCTTTTAACGGTAGACAGAATTCGCCGGTACCACGAACGACAGTTCTGAAATAGAGGTCCCACGCCCGCCGTCCGCTACCATCGCCGTCCCCGCGAGTCCCACGATACGCGAAACGACGAACGCACAGAATGCTTCCGGTTGTCTGTGGAACTTTTTTTTTTTTCAATCAACGTATTTACAGCTTTTTAGAAGCCACAAAAAATGGGTTTCATATTTTTTTCTATTTTTAATATTGAGTGTGTGCCTTCAGTGACCCACGACTTTGATTAAATTTGGTGGTCGCATCGATACCTTAGAAAACGGCCCGTGACCGCGAAAAAGAGAGTGAGCGAGACTCGAACCGGCCAGTTCTTGATCGGCGGTTTTCGGGCGGAAAGAAACCGAATTTCGAGCCGCAAATTCTGTTCTGGGTAGTTGAGCTCTCATATGTCACGTACAACTAAAAACCTCGGCGAGCATAAATACCCTGTCAGTGTCCCTTTAAAACTTCATTAAACCAGAGAACACACTGGCGCCATCTATTGGGAAGCAGTGTAAACTCGGCGGTCCGGCATATTTTTTTTTTTATTTCTCGCGCAATATCCTTTCTTTTTTGGCTCGAAAAGCTTTTGTCAATGTTATAAACGAGCCTTTCTATGGGTATTACGCACATTTGACTTCGTAAATCCCGCAAAACCTTCGCTTTTGTGAAATGCAGTTCTAGGGCCACCGCATAGATGGCGCCACAATGTCAGTGTGTTCCCTCATTCTAGAAACATTTAAGAAGTTGTAAGAGATCTCGTCTCTCTCAGTCGTACTCGGTCGCAAGAGTGTGAACGGGCCTTTAAGAGTAATCAGAATTCCACGAGATTTTTGGCAAGGAGCAGGAAGGTTGGACCTTATTTTATTCACAACCGAATAATGAAATAATTAATTATCCGCAAAAGGTTTCGAATAAATGCAATATTGCTGCACCTTTAAATAACAGCTTTACTTACACCTAAAGCTATACAGTCCTCAATGCTACGATAACGACGGACTGGCAAAACGAATCGATGGATAGTATTTGTATAGAAACATGGTGGCACACAGAGTACATAAACCTAGAAACAAAAACTGCGAGAGCTTTAGAACGGTAGAAAGGTTCTGGCAGCCATTGCGGGGCTTTTTTTATTGTCCCTTATGAAATTAAAGATCTATAATCTACTGCGAATACGCTGGTTCCAGTGATATACACAGACTCCAACTTGCTCTTGGGATTTCTGGTTTCATTTTCGTTTGACCTGCAAGCATTCTCAAAACAGAACAGACAATCGCACCATCGCAAGTGTATTTAGCAGACAACTTCAAGGGTACTTTACGATAGAAAGGGGGACATTGAAGACAAACAGACAATGTCCCTCTTTCCTTAGCGTAAATTAGAAACCAACACGCTCAACCATCTACACTTCAAGGATACCATCAGGCAGAACGATGAAGGCGAAAACAAAGAATATTTTACAGTACCCACCTCAAATTTGAGCAAAAATTGAGGTTACAGTAGGAACAAAACTAAGTTGGGTGGTTGGCTAATAACCTAAGGCATATCACAGCAGTTACCTTTTGCGCAATTTCATAATAGTTTAAACTGTGAGCATTTACTAAATGCCGGTAAACTTTATCAGAGCTTTGGTACTTAACGTAAAGTAAATGCAACAGCTTTAAAAATTATGAGTGAGGTTGGCATAGCGAATGTGGAGGCAAGGGAGACGAAAAAGGTGTAAATAGTACATTAGAGTCAATGGAAAAAAAAGGGCAAACAAACAGTAGTAGCATCGTAGAAGGCTACTAAATACATATAAAAAAAACTTTACTTAATATCTAATCAGATTGAGGCTGCAGCAACTTCTTGCAGTAAATCAGGCAACAATGAAACAGCATCATAGGCAAGCTGGCAGTCAGAAAGCAGCTGACTACATCCAACTCACTTCAAAATTATAAATAATACCTCTGATGCCAAGTCCTATGACTGGAAGCATTTCTCGTACAACACACTGTAGACCATTCTTATGGTGTCCGAGGAAAACATTGGCAAATTAGCACACAAAAGAAAATCCTAACTTAAAATATTCTATTTTCTGTTTTTACCTAAAGTGCCAGAAAAAACGGCAGCTGTTTTCTTTAGAGCCCCATGCACTCCTTCAATGGATACAGTGCTCTCAGTACAAGTGAAGATGACTCACAATGAACTGGAAGCAAATGAGGGAAAAGCCACGCTGCACAAATATAAATATTTAAAACCAGCGATATAAAGATGAATCTTCAGAGTAGACACTCATCCAAGATCCCCAGGATGCTCTTGCACCACCTATCGATCACACTAGTTATCCTGGCATCTTTACATAGGTATGGTGGCATTTGGACAGAAATGTCCCATTGACTAGCTACAAGTAGGAGTGTTGCAAACTTACCAAAGGTCGAGTTCAAGAAAGTTCAACATTTGCATTCTTTTATTGCAAAGGCCGACAAAAGCTCAACTGAAGTTTGACTAAAATGCACATGTGCGAAAATTGAGAACGTGCTGATGCTACTTGGTGGAGGAGGGTAATTAACTAACTAGCAAGTCATTAAAATATTATATATTTGCTTTAATATTGCATAAACATTGGTAACATTTCTGAAATGTAAAAGAAACCATACTTTATAAACTAATTTTCTCCAAAATTTTGAAATGTTTGTGGGCAAGTCGGGCTACACTGTCTAAATGTCGAACCTTGTCAAATTTTGCCAAAAGTGTGAAGGTTAGATGAGCTTGTCGAACCTCGGGTTAAACAAAAGATCGCAGTACCCCTGGATACATGCGATTCACAAAGTAGGCAAAGCAGACGCCTCTGCTGAAGAGCTGCCCGAGCTATTTCCATCAACTGGGAAAAGCAGGTTTTTTGCATGCAACCAAAGCTATGATCAAAAGCAGTTTGGTGAAGCTTCAGGTAAGCTGTAGCTATTAGAAGCTTAGAAGAGAAGTTGGAGAAACTTTCTGTGGGCTACCAAGAGCTTACTGACCCACACAAGCTTCGGAAGTCCAAGACAGCTCGCACGACACGGTGGTGATGAAAGACCAGGGCCGGCTTTCTAGATGCACCATCTCAGCTAAGACTGGGTGAAAGAAAGCACTGCCAAAGCCAGCACATGAGCCGAGCGGGACTCAGACCAGGTCTCAAGACACCCCAAGGTGCATGGGGCTTCGTCCCACCCTTTTGGGGGGGGGGGGATGGATATGGATTCGGAGAGAGAACTGGGATTCACAGACATGAATGGACGAATGGATAGGGAAAGAATTGCGGTAACTAAGAGGAGATTGGAAGATTGGTAGAAAAGATCTAGGGAGGGGTAAAAATACAAATAAAATAAACAATGGAAATACTTTAAAAAAGGAGGGGGGTAGGGTTGTGACAAAACAAAATTTATACAAATTAAAAAAAAAAGAAGGGATGACGAAACGTTAGGCTAGGCGGCGCAAGCTGCTGCCCGTTATAAAGGGTATAGCCATTACCTACCATCCATCCATCCAGCCTTTGCAGTGTTTTTTTTTTCACCCAGTCTCGGCTGGGACGCTGTTCTAGCAAGTTGGCCCTGAGCAATGACACCACCGAAAGAAAAGGTGCATGAAACAAAACATTTTCAACGACTATGTCACAATAGCTACAATCATCCCATCGAAAAGTTAAAAAAAATCGACCCTCATTAGTCGTCTTCATTCACTCCTTCCTGCGCGTTGGACGTCAAGATCAATATCAACATCAGCATGAATGAGACTCGAACCAAATTAGACACATCTTGATCGAGCTGCCAACTCCAACAGAAAACCTTGCAAATTGCTCAGTTGGTATCGATACCTACCTGGTCAAACCTAAAAAAACGATGATGGTAACATTTGTAGAAATAAACAATAACATTACTATTAATAGAGGGATATACCAGCCAGCAATACGGCTCTCGTGAAATAAGCTGTCAACAGACCGCAGCGAAAGAGCCTAGGCTAAACCCGGCCAAAAAACCAGCATTGGCCATCACGCCTGGCATTGGGGAAACCGCATCTTTTTTTCTTTAGTGCAGAGCCTTTACTGACATTATGCTGCAATCACGCGTTAAATAAGTCGCTGCGTCAGCACAAGTTCCGACGCGAAGAAGCAAACAGTCTGCACAAGTTGTTTATGAAGTCGGCGCCCGTGGTTTCACGTGGAACAGCCTTCGTCACCGCTGTGGCGCGTGGAGATCTCGACGAGTGCCTTCTGCATTTCGTTGAGAACCTCCTCCGACTCTGGCGCTTCCGAAATGACCCACGTGTCGTCCGTGGTGTCAAACTCCTCTCGACACAGCGGGCAAGTTGTGTTCGAAACATTCCTGCGTGGCACGAAAAATCATCCAGTTCGGCTCGGGTTTGAAGTGCCAGGACTGATTTATATACGTCTGTTTCGATAAACTCCAATGGCACCTACAAAAGACATCGGAATACACTTCTCGAAATTCAGTCTCAGGCAGCAGTCTAACTTCAGCTACACTAATGGCGGCAACGAAAACATAGTATTTCATCGGGTCCTATCCCTTTCATTACGTCAAAGACATAATGAAGCTGAGGAAAAGATTGTGGTCTTTTTGCAGTTTCTTCTCAATTCCTTTTGTTTCGATATGACAAGGAGACAACTGGCTGATACGAAGCACCGACCTAAGTAGCGCCCTTAATAAAATTCATTACATCAGGGGCATCAGAATTGTGTGTGGCAACAGATTGACCCGACCAGAGTCCAAAAAGGGTGCTGACCCAGCACTTGCCCCCAGCTCATACGTCACACTGCGCTAACGTCTCGATTGCACATGATTCGCTCCATCCATACAGACACATATTTTTTAACTTCTTCCTTCGTTATGCACCAGAAGGGCAATACAAATACCAATATAATAACAATGACTGAAGTGGTCAAACTGAACTTCAAAAGGGATCTGTTGCCAGAGGGGAAATAATTACTGTTTGCATAAGAACTGAAAGCACTGCAGGCCGACGGAAATCCCCAAAACGTGCTAGCTTTCAGAAATGTATTGGGAGCAAAGACCTTTCTGTCTTTAGCTAGCAAAGGTCGGAAGTAACCACCGAGGCGGCGAGCTTAAGCCATGAATTGGCTGGGATTGTTTGAGAGCGATGCCCATTACTGAGGAGACTCACCACTGCTCGATACAAAAGAGGCAGTAACTGTGCGTGCAGGGAAGAGTGACTTCAGGCTTGCGCTCCATGCAGACGCAACACTCCTCAAGATCGCTCTCGGGAACATCAAGCACCCTGGAGGAGGAAGTTAAAAAATGCTGGACTTACACTATGCACAAAGAGTTGCTTACTCACTACGAGTAGGGTACCATGCTTGAAATGTTTATAGTGGTAAACCCCAAAAAACAATGCATGGGACAGTTTTATCAAATAGGAAAGGACGAAAAGAAATTCATTGGAGTTGTCCTTGAATAAAAAAAAAACCCAAGCTTAACGGAAATAAATCTCTACAGCTCCATATTGACTTGACCTGCAATACAGCCTGCAATACAGTCCGTGAGGCTACTTCTTTCCTAGGAAATCAATCCTTATCCTTGTTTCATTCTTTTTTGGTACTGGGCCATTTTCCAAGTATATATTTGGGTAATGAACATGTCCTTTTGAGGTAAGAAATCCCACTGTCATGTCCCCTTTTCTTTAACATATGCTGCGATAAGCAACATTTTTTTCTCCGACAACACCAAAATACTAAATCTATATGAGAAAAAGATAGACAAACATCTCTGAATTTGAATAAAAATAAACCCCAAAATTATGGAACCCTAACTATGAGCAATTTAAAGAGATAGGAAAGGACATGTGAATGGCATACATCTTTAACATAGCATACACAATACAAGTGATACACAAACTGGAATGATGTCAAAGCATGCAAGACTTCATGAAGGAGTCCTGGACAATGACTGGGAAACCAGTGAGTATACCGAGTTAGAGCACTGCAAATGGTATCTAACCAATTTGCTGGTGGAAGACAATTTGTCAATTGGGGCGTTTGAACCTAAGCCAATTCAACGGATGAAGAATTACTCAGAAATATCATTAGTTTACGAGGGTTTTAAGCAATATCTGGACAAAAAAGGATTTGATCTACACTGATGATGACAAAGGGTGACTTAAATCTGTGCTGGAAAACGTTCAGCATCAAATATTGTTGCATGCATTACTTTCTGCAAATAAAGCATTCATGAGGCTCAAACTCAATTATCTATGATTACCTCTGTGGAAATTTCATCTTGAGCGCCACACGGTCAAAGTATGGAACATTTTTCGTTGCCCTTGTAAATGGCAGGCTTAAGCCTCACCCATTAAAAAGTGCAGACGTGCAGAGGTTCTTCGGCGGCGGAGCACCCTTGGCTTTAGTGCCGGCAGTCGAGCTGGCACTGCTATCCATGGCGGCGGAATGGTATGCCTTGATGGTGTGGTACGCCTGGAGGAACTGCCTTAACGACATTAGCCGCATGGACTCTGTCTTTGGGGCTGACTTTGCACTGTCAGCTGCCACCTGCAATCGGCAATGAGAAGAGGTGACTTGTGAAAAGCTCGTTCTAAGCCCGGCTTCAATGGTGGCTTCCTGCCCTAACACTCAATCTCGTAACGTACGGCAAATGCGAGGGGAAAGTTTCAAGAACATATAGGCATAAGAGAGTACTACTCTCATAGTCGCGAGTAATACAAAGCACACATGACCACTTTACAGGGGTCTGAACAGTCCCCTAGCAAAATAAGGTAGTAGATATTCCAGTGAAGCTGCTACGAGCGTGCCATACCAAGAATCTGGTACTTGTCTTAGTCCCTCGTCGCATTTGGAACCAAGTACAAGTAAAGATCTGCCAGCAATTATGCAGCTAATGAAAGGAGGAGAATATAGAAATGCTCATTTGCAGATCAACGCTTAAAGCATTTAAGGACTCCAGTGAACCGCTTTACGGTCGTCTCATCGCATGTCTTGAGTTGACACTTTGCTCTGTCACGGCACAGCGTAAAAGCAGCTCTGTGAATGGTAACCACAAGAGGTAAGATGATCAAAAAAACTATGCAGACTTTACATAACAGTTTCTTGTTATGTAAAGTCGGCACAGTTTTTTTCGTCATTATGATTCCCGGCTTTTGGAATATTTTTGCAAGAGGTAAGATGTACCCCGCAAGAAACTTTGCTCTTAGCTTCCCTCGCCTACTGCTATAAGGCGATGTAGGCATTGTCTGGTCACAGTTCTGACGCTCACATGTCTGACGCTCACACAAACTAGGACTGCACATTTACTCATTAACACCTTGTTCATATCATGGTGAGCCAACAAAACCAAAACAAAAGCTACTCTCGAACAAAAAAAAAAGCGTTGATTGATTGATTGCAAGGTGAGACGGAGTACAGCAATAATGTGAAGACTGTGAATGACACAAGTACGCGTGCGAGCAGTTAACGGAGAGGGAAGGGCTCTCTTGACTCACTCTTCTGCAGCAAACGCGAACTTCTTTTTTCCATAGCACGGGTGTCTCCGTGGGCGCTCTGACTTCAAAGACTAGGCTCCTGTTTCTGGAGTCTGTCAGCGACTGGGATCTGCAGGCAAGAGTACGACACGTTGCTGTTGTATGCACAGGCACCGGAGAAGCCTGCGGGGCCTTATACAACGTAAACGAGCGGTGTATACTTGCATTTCGTTAAGCTCCCGGACTTTGGCCAAAAATCCATCGTAAGTTATGGTGGTCAGCTCCCTCAACGTCTGCGTTTGACGAAAGAAGTTTCCAGCGAACTCGGAGCTGGCCTGCTGCCCCATAATAAACTGTCAAAAATAAATAAACAATTTTTTTTTTTTAAAGGCGCATGCATAAGCGTGTATTTCACGTTATGAAAGAGCAACTTTCCGCATTAAACATCTCGACCCCATATCGATCGTTACGTAGAAAAACCACTACAATGGTGTCACTATCTCAATTCAACTAGGAACAGCGTTGAACAGATCGCGCAATGCACAAACACGCATTAAAAGGCGAAGAATTTGACTTGCGCTGCAAAGGGGTAAGGCAGCGCGCGAGCTTGACAACAAACAATTTCGGATGGCACCAGAGAGCAAGTATGACACCAACCACCTGAGTTCAGCTCACCTTCTGCTAAATGAACAGCTTCTTCATGCTAATTCAAAAGCCGCGTTTTATGTTGCGAGGGGCCTTAATATCCGGAGTGTGTCATAAAAATCAGAAACGCCCGAAACTACCACCGAGCAGAAAATCGAGCTGGGTGGGTTCCGTTTGCCGAGACGATGAAAAACAATAAACGTTGATTTCGAACTAGATGACGTCATAGTTCAGTTCCCCCTGCTTTTTCTAACAAATTGTACCAAAAATTTTAACAATTAACAAATAAATTAAACTAATTGTTTTATAAGAATATATCATATATTTAATATTTAAAAGCTTTGTAATGTTTGTGTATGACGTCATCACTAGCGCAGTCCTTTAGGAGTCGAATAAACGAACGTAGCCTGCCTTCAGAACAGGTAAAGTAAACAAACAGCAAATAAGAAACCTGTCGGTTTTTGCATTGAAAGAGGGAAGCTCACATCCAGGATGAATATTTGACGTTTCATCGTGAGTAATATGTATATTATTAGGTCCGCGTACGTCCCAGCTTTTGTGCGCAAGCTCCGAGCGGCTGCATGGGCTTCCCGCACGTCGCTAAGGTGCATTCTGCCGAGATAAAACCGGAACGATCCAAGAGATTAGGCCTAGATTGTTCATGCTTGAAATGTTCGAGCCAAAAAAATCGGGCAAAAAAGATGCACGTTCATGTTGAACCATCGCGATAGCGATCGCCTCGGCAGAAAAAGGGAGCCAGCAGCCGACGAGGGAACGGGCAAATGCACGTGCTTATTCTACCCGAGCGCGGTTTCGCTTGATTTCACGCGTCCGCCTGACAGTTACGGACTTTGGCTTCAAACGTTTCGCTGACACCTTATCTCGTTTGCGGGGGCCCGAGGCACAACAGAATGTTTGCGGTCATACGCGCTGCTCGGTCCCGTAACGGTCTCTCCGATGAAAAGTTCGAAATGCAGGTCCCGGTCTTTCGTGAACCAAATTGCTTGCTCACGCTGGGCGGGATTGGGACTCTACGGTCTTGCAGCAGTGCAAGGCAGTTCGTTGAACACCGCGTCCGGACCCTGGTGTTCTGCTGCACTTTCCCGTAGTGGCATTTGTGCAACGTCATGCTTCAACCCCCTGGGGTTCCGGAGAAGCCGTTTCCCTCTTGGCGCAATAGTTCACCACCGTTATGCAAGCTTCGCTGTGGTGTAATCCCTTCGGCGCGCAGACAACGGCGTTATGGCAAATTATAATAAAATGTCAGATATTGGGGCGAGCACTCTGTGGTGGTTCAGTTTAACCTCTCCTAGCTGTGATTCGAAGTTGCGACCTTGCCTGGCAGCGTACTCGTCGCGTTTCCGCTACTAAGTTCCGCGTTTCTGCCAAGAGACCTCTTGAATTGTTGAATGCAGCAGCTGCGTTGGAGGCAGGCCAACTTGGATATCTCCCTTGTGTCTGAACCTATCAGTGACAGTGGTAGGCCATTATGTGTAAAATATTCCAGTTGTTTGTTTATCTGTTTGTTACTGCCACTGAACACCCCGAAATATATCTATTCTCTAGGGTTTCTTAAACTTCAAGATAGAACTCAGCAGTTTGTTCTTTGCAGCCATATTTCATACATACACTTGTATTTTTTTATGCACAAGTCTGCATCATAAAATGAGCCCTGTACGGCTTATTTCAATCTACCTGTCTCGTCTAATGTCTCCTACGTCCGTCTTTCATTTTCGTAATTTAAACACCAATCCATTCGACTATACACTCGAAACATCTGTACATGCCCCGGGTAACAACCAGTTTAATTGCCTTGCATCCAGGCAGGCATGTGTTTGAACATAACCAAAACTGTGCTCTTCTCTCGATGAACATTGCCTCTACATTACTTCCTCTTCCTCCGATCACACGCCATGGCATAAGCCCGGATATGTTGAAACTTCGAAGTTACTTTTTACATTGTGCATTGATAAGCCAGAGTGGCCATTAGCTGCAGAATTTTTTCTTTTGCCACTTATGTGCCTTGCGGCATCCTTTGTGTCCCACCTCCCAGACTAAATGGATTATTTGTGCCCACGAGATAATCCTTCCTTTCGATAAGGGGTGGCCAAGTCCAGTTGGAGAAAAACGGAAGTTAAAGAGGAAAAGAAATGCGAGCTTCGTGAGTGGACTTCCTGCAAACGCCAGTGCATGTAATCAGGAGTAGATTCTTGTTCCTTGCTTTGTGAATGCAAAGTGTTTGTTCCGAGATCTAGCTAACCAAATCGAAAAAAATTGTTTCATGGTCCTTTGTCCTTCTGAGTGCCGGGTTTCTTTTCCCGCTTGTGGAATGCACATTTTGGTACTGTGCAGAAAAACTGTAGCATGCTTCATGAAGTATGTTATTTGTTGAAAACACACTAATAGTGACAGAAGTCCCCTAAAACGAAACTTTCCACATGTCGTCACCAGAGGTTATTACGAGACAAAGCATCGCTCTACAAGTAAAAATAAAATTGACAACTCAGTTGGGAGCTGTATGCAGCAAGTTGAAATTGAAACCTGCATGGGAGCTGGCCCAAGTATGCTTTGTAGAAATAAATGAACTGCGCAAAGGACGAGGACAGAGGTAGAAACGAATATGACACGCGGAGCGCAGACTTCCAACTGTTTATTTGGCGCACACACAACAGTATATATAACAGCAGCAATCAGTTTGCGGTGAAATAAGGTTTAAACATGACCATCCAAAAAAAGAATTCCTTGTCTGATAGTGAAACAGATTGCATGCTTATGCAGTCGTGACCTTTCTTTTTAATGAAGTAGGCTTTACGAGTTTTCTTTCCGTTGCCTCATTTGCTCTTGCAAGAACACGTGTCCTTTGCAAATCAGGATGACAACCGCATTTCAAACAATGTACAGGCAGATGTCTGCCTGTGTTGTTTTTTTATTGACAACCTGAGGGCACGTGAACACTTTCTGTCGATAAAAAACAACACAGGCGGACATCTGCCTGTACATTGTTTGAAATGCGGTTGTCATCCCGATTTGCAAAGGACACGTGTTCTTGCAAGAGCAAATGAGGCAACGGGAAGAAAACTCGTAAAAGCCTACTTCATTAAAAAGAAAGGTCACGACTGCATAAGCATGCAATCTGTTTCACTATCAGAAAAGGAATTTTCTTTTTTGGATGGTCATGTTTAAGCCTTATTTCGCGGCAAACTGATTGCTGCTGTTATATATACTGTCGTGTCTGCGTCAAATAAACAGTTTCTACCTCTGTCCTCGTCCTTTGCGCAGTTCATTTATTTCTACAAATCATGAACCAACTAGCCCGCCAAAAGGTGTTACTCAAGTATGCTTGGGGTTAAAAGGACACTGAACTCCCAAAAGCAAAAACCTTCTTTTTTAAAGTGCTTGAATAGCATATATATGTCATAAAATCACCTTTCCCGGAAAAATAAAAGTGCCTACACAAACTTTACATTGCAAGACAGATTTTGAGTTGGGAGCGATTTTCATGTCTTGGCACATCGACCTAAAATGGAAGAATGTTTCATAATCGCTCCTAGAGGGAGTGAATTCCGAATAAATTACTTTTCTATGTACTGTCGGGGACAAAAGTCTCCAGGACATGCGAGCTGCGGCTGAAACGCATTGCTCTGCCATCTGCCGGCGGGTCGCCTGGTTTCGAGATCACACAAAAGCGCATGCGCGTCCTACTCTGTCTGCAAACATGTGTGTTTTCCCGCTTTTCTGCGGCACAGCGCCTAACTCGGAATCGGGCGCGTGGTACCGCCTCGGAGATAGCGCTGGCGGCTTACGAGCGTCTGCTACACATTCCGAAACACGAGATACCGCCTGGGGCATTGCGCCGCATTTCGCCGTGTCAGCGCACCTTGCTTTATAACCAGTTGAGTTTATCGCTCAGTTGAGTTGCCGTGACTTCTTGCTTTATAAATGCCATGTTAGAAGCGCTATCTCGAGGCGGTACCCCACGCCCAATTCGGAGTTAGGCGCCGCGCCGCAGAAGAGCGGGAAAGCGCACATGTTGGCACGCACAGTAGGACGCGCATGCGCTTTTCTGTGATCTCGAAACCAGGCGACCCACCGGCAGATGGCAGAGCAATGCGTTTCAGTCGCAGCTCGCGTGTCCTGGAGACTTTTGTCCCCGACTGTACCTAGATTGCAGGCATATATCTCAAAATACCCCCTCCCCCCCTTCATTTCAGAACATGTTGAAATTCTTATTTTAACATGTTCTGAAATGGAAGCGCATCGCAATACTCGAAATGACTATCTCGACCCAATCATTGTGAGAGCATGTTTTGTTTCCGGGGACAATGTATCTTATGACATACCTGTTCTATCCAGGTACCTAAAAAAGAAACCTTTGTTTTGAGTTTAATATTTTTTAAATGACAGCTTCATCGCAACCTGTCACCTGCGGTCACACTACCAATGCATCAAACAAAAGACAGCCACACTCTGAGGCTTTTCGTTGTATGGCTGTCACGGTGGTCCTACAAAAACCGTGTGCCGATATGTTCGAAACATGCACGCTTGAAATGGGCTGGAGGCCACAGGTAATTCTGTCAATCGCGTCTGCAGCGTGCATCTTTTGTGCTACCAGCATGAGTGCGACTTAACAGAGCCCCGAACCCGGCCGACAGGAGCTGCGGGGCAACGCCAGCGTGGAACCCTCGGCGCGAGGCCCCGTCCGGCCGCCCCCGACGGGGCCCTGAGGCTCCCCGCGGGGGCGCCCATGGAGCTGCGCGTGTGGCTGGAGGGGGGCCCCCAGCGGGTGGTGTGCGGCGTCACGGACGCCACCACCTGCCAGGACGTGGTGTACGCCCTGGCGCAGGCCACGGCCCAGACGGGGCGCTTTGCCCTGGTGGAGCGCTGCCGACGCTCGGAGCGGGCCCTGGCGCCCTCGGAGCGGCCCCTGCGGCTGCTGGCCCGCTGGGGGCGCTATGCGGGGGACGTGCGCTTCCTGCTGCGCCGCTGCGGCCCCACGGGCTCGGCAGCCACTCTGGGCCCCTCCGCCCGCAAGTGGGACTCCTCGGGCACCCTGCCTGCCACGTGAGTGCCACCTGCAGGAGGTCCTGGCAGTCCTCCGCCCGGGACTAAGCTGCCTGGAATGTGCCTCCGACTTAAGGGGGCCCTGCAACGACTTTTGGAGCACAGCTCTTAGGTGCCCGTTTCTGGCTTGAGCGGCGTCGCTGTCGGCGTAGCCATGCAATGCATGATGGGTAAATTTACCCACTAGATTTAGCGGAAAATTTTTCCCTAAATGGGGGCGAGCAGGAGAGGAGGAAAAGCATAGCCCCCTCTCCGTACCTTCTCCTCCTTCTCAAGAGCTGCACTCTAATTCGGCATTACAGGGAGTTGTAAACGGCTTTCATTTTGTTTTTTGACTGGTTTTTAATTTGCACCAAACCTGAGCGCGCTGAACGTAGTAAAATGAAACTTTTTCCTTTCTCAAAATTTGCTTTAATTTAAAGATAGGCAAATTAAAATTAGAAAAACAAGCAAAAAATAACCTCCTTCACGACGTCCCTTGTCCCGGCTTGGAAGGCCAATCGTAAAAGCGAAGCGACTGACCAGTCGGCTGCGGCTTACATCGATGGTCGCTTCCCCTGCAGCGGCACGCGTGTCAGCGGCGGATTGCTTGCTTCAGCCCTCTACTGCACTTGCCGGCATGAATTTACCTTTCGGAGTTGGAGCTCCAAATCCTCGATAGAAGTGCGGAGGTGGGAGTAGTACTGTACGAGGACAATCCTCGTCAGCGTCCGGAGTGGGCTGGTGAAGCCTCTCGGCTTCAACTCGACGACGCCCGAGTTCTGGGCAAGTTCCGGGTGGGTCTTCTATGGTGCGAGACCATGGGAGACAAATTCGTGCTTTTGCTTCTTGCAAAATGTGCCGCCGGCGTCGTGCGTCGTCTGCTAGGATCCGCGGAGGCGCCTGCAACGCCCTGTGCCGTCTCTTCCACTGCTTCGTGGCGGGTATATCGACGGGTCATTCAGGTCATCGTGCTTTGTTTCTTGTTTCCATACTTTCTGAACTGCATTTGTTTCTTTTCTTGTATAAAATACTGAACGAAAACTACTTTCATAAATATTTTAAACAGTTTGCGCCACTTATATCTCGTATTTCGAGTAAAAAAATTATATATTTTAGCGGCTCTGACGAGTCGTAAGGCAGGAGCAGACCGGGACCGACGACGTCCCGAATTCGTCACGTGCCGCGCTCGTTCAACACCATGGAGCGTCCCCGTAGGGAGGAGGTTTTCGCATCGTCCGGTTAAAATATGACCTGCTGATATTCAGTGACTCTCTCCGTGCCCGCTGGGTTACCCGAACCACAATAGACGTGGAAACAGCAAAAAAAGGTAGATGCTTAAATAGGATTGCAAGGTCCCTTTGAACGTTGGCCGCGTCCTTGGGCCCCCTCCCCAAAAGTGTCATGTTGTCGCCGGTAGTGACCCTGGCGGTGTCGCGGCAGCGGTGGCACATGTGGCAGACACCTGTTCCGCCGCAGGTTGTTCACCAGCTTGACAGTCTACGGAAGGCTAAACATCCAGGAGCTGGAATGCCGCAAGGGCAGCGAGACTCACTTTGGCTTGTGATTTTCGTCAGCATTTCTACGACCAACCGCCAGGATCGCGACGTCCCGCAGCATGACACTCCGGCTTGCGCGACGTAAATTTGTTGCCATTTTGGGACCACTTTTGGTGCGTGCATGGGTGGGACAGGACGCTAAAGACACCAATCAAAGGGGCGTTTCAGCTACCATAGTCTCGGCTTCCTGTTTGTGTGTGTGTGGACAGGGAGCGTCGTCTGTGATGCAAGCTGCAGCGTGCGTTTGTCTCTCTCCCGTGCGTCCAGGCTGCGAGGAGCGGGGGTTCCTCCCAGCCAGCAGGAAGGAGGGGGCAGGCCTCGCTGCCCGCCCCCGTACGACGAAGCAGTCACTCGTCTGGGGCAGCGCTTCTTCCAGCCTAGTCAGCCGCTCCTCGACAAGGAGGTGGGTTGCAGGACCTCCCCTGGAGCCATTCTTCTTTCTTTCTTGGTTCACAATGCTGCTCTCTTTTGAGGCCATACCAAAAAAGAAAACAAAACATATATACACATTTTTTGTGAGGCACTATTGTACTGAAAAAATCAGTAAAAGTGGCTGCATTTACGACATCGGGTAACAGATTGTTCCAATCAACTATTGTTCTTAAAAAGAAAAAGAAAAAAACAACAATATAATTCTTGTTACTATGGCTTTAGCATTTTATTATGAGAGTGTCTGGTTGCTCTGGAGCAAAATTAATCAATAGTTATCAATTCCCAGGTTGTAATTAGCAAGTAAATAAAGAAATTTCAGGCAATTTTTTTTTTTTTTTTTTTTTTTTCCTTGACGTTTTGAGTTTTGTTTTAACACGGGAGTCTGTGTGGGATACATAGGAAGGCTGGGGGATACAATGCTCGAGTCTATGGGATACAAGTCTGCACGGGATACATTCGAGAAGATAGAGTATTCCTTTGCTTGGAACCAAATGCGGCAGAGCAGAAGCCCCCTGATGTCACTGCAGAGCCGGTGACTGTTCCCCCGAGTACCGAAACTCTCAAACTTCGTGTCTCTCAATCTATGTGTCCAAGCTGCAAAGTGGCACTGCAGTTGGTGACTTCAAAATGGCAACCCCATGTGGTTCACTCAAATTATGGTGGCCAGAATCAACAGCCTGCCCTTTTTGTAGGTTAGATAAGGGCTAATTTACGTAGAAAACCGTAGCAGAAGACAATATGCCCATCACCTTTGGACTGGCCATAATTCACCGGCTGTTTGCGCTTGAATGTTTCACGTGCAGTTTTCACTTTTGATATTTTCCAATTTATAGGTGGCACACATCAGCCCATCAAAAAGCCCGGCTGGCTCGGTTGATCTGTCTGAGCAGATGCCACGAAATGTGGTACTCTGGGAGCATGCAGTGGCTATGGGTTGCTCCAGATACCAAATTTGGGCCTCTGGCTGCGCACTACCATCGCCTGCAGATTTCAGTTTTTCCCGCTAACTCGTCGCCAGTTAGAGCTTGGCAGCGCGTAGTGCCTTGCAAAGATAATACTGGGGTTCTCGAACCAACTTTTCGAAGAGGGGTGTCCCTCTCCTTTTCGAGAGGGTTTGGTAGGGAGGCTAGCAATATAATAATAAAAAGAAAAAAAATGTGCATTTGTAGTAGTTCGCAAGAAAAGGAATTGTACATTGCAGGGTAGGTCGTGCGGCATACTTTTGCTCTGTTGCGGCCAACTTGACTGTTCTGGAGGGCAGAAGAGCGTGCAATGTCTGGCGAAGCTTCGGATAAGTGGCAGGCAACGGGGTAGCAGACGCGTTGTTACCCCAAAGCGTAGCTTGTTCGGTGGCTTGGGCAAAGTTTTTCCCCAAAAATACCCCATTTATCTCGATCCGACGGGTAACGTCGGTGTGCATAGAGTGTGTTTCTGCCGCATTCTTTGGGGTTCGCGGTGGACGTTGCAGTATTTACTTCTTCGTTTATAGCGTGTTATTGTATTCCGAATTTTGTCCTTTGCTATGCAATGATATGTGCGCCTTGGATTCATTATTTTTTTCCGTGAACGGTTCGAACCCTGATGCTGGCATTCTACGTTCGCGTTCAATCAGTCATTAAAGATTGCCGTGGTAGAGGCGAAGTTAGCCGACTTCATGTCTCCCCCCAATCGGCATGGTGGTAGAACATCGAGCTCACAACCGTGGGGGGACATGGGTTTGATTCCCGTTGGGGCGCGTTTAGAATTCCGTTCTCCCTTCCTAGTTTACCTAGGAAGGGAGAACAACAATTACTTTGGAGGACAATCTGTGCTTTCATGTAGATTGTCCTCCAAAGTAATCATTGCACGTTTCATAACAGTTTCCGTGGCGTTCCGTCACACTTTCCTCGGGATGGCGGCTCTTGGTCACATTCCGCGTTGCAATGCAGGGCGAAGAGGGCGGCCCGCTCCGGAAGGAGGCTCCCCCGCTGCAGGTGGTGGTGCCGCCGGCGCTCCAGGGGCCGGGGGACTCGCCCAGCGCCAAGCGGAAGCTAGATGTCCCCGAGGACCCCCAGCAGCACCAGTACCGGGAGCTGGTGCGGCTGGTGAGCCTGCAGCGGGAGAGGCTGCACGGCCAGCAGGAGGAGCTCTCCCGCTGCGACGCCGGTGGGTGCCTTTTCTCCTCGCTCGTGCAGGACCGAGTCTCCTGCCAGCGCATTTTGCTTGCCCCAAACCCTCGACTTCCGCCCTACAACGGCATAGATGCGTCGCGCCTAGGGTTGTGCGAATATTCAATATTTCGAATAGTAGTTTCGAATAATACACCATTCGATATTCGCTTCGAAAAGAACTGCACTATTCGCGTTTTTCTAAGGGTTGATTACGACGGGCTAGCCCCGTTGAGTGCGCTTCTTACCAAGCACCGGTGCGCTGCGGAGAAGCAAAACCCACGGAAGTGAGCTCTGCGGGTGTTGCTTCTCCGCATTACATTGGTGCTCGCTAAGAAGCGCACTTAACGGGGTAACCCGCCGTGATAAACAATATCGTAATTGCGTGCTCAAGAAAAGCAAACATTCAAAGCGGGATAGTGCACCCGTGCCGACTGTATTTGAAAATAAATGGAAACTTTGTGAATGTGTATATCTACATTGTAGTAAAAGTTTCAAAATTAAACTTTTATGCAAGAGTATACTATATTAGGCAGAGATGCTTTTACAACCTGTGTTCATCATGCACGACTCATTCTTTTTTAAACTTGAGATTAAAGAAAGAATATTTTATATATCAAGATTTGTAAATTCACTCAATTGGTATTGTTGGCCATCTATATAGGATTCATTTTATGTCAAATCCGTCATTTACTTGCCATCCCAAGACACCAGACCTCTGAGATCACAGTTCATAAATGAATGAAAAAGTGGAATAACCTTTACAGGTTTAGCTGGATTTTCGTCCAAGCATTATGCAATGGTAGTGAAAGGCGTGGAGAAACTATTCGATATTCGAATCGGAAATATTCGGCCAAGACCACTATTCGCTTCGAATTCGCTTTGGACTCAAAATCCACTATTCGCACGAGACCAGTCGCTCCATATACACTTTCCTAAAATTTGGTGCCATCCGGCGACTCGAAAAGCAGTTTCACTCTCAACGAACTAATGGCTGTCGTGAAACTGTATTTCGTCGGGCACCGTCACTTTTGCACGTCAACGGCATGTGGGAATTGGTCCTTCGATCACCTCGTAATTCTTTCCCATCTTGCTTCAGTTTCGACGGTACAAACTTAAGAACTGGGGGGGGGGGGGACCAATGCGAAGCGGCAGCCCGTGGGCCCCTCGAATAAGTTTCCGCCACCGAAATGCTTTAGAGTTGAAATTGTGCTGAGAAATCTATTGGACCACGCTCCAAAATAAATGCTTTTGCGGCCGTTGTATCTAATTCGCTCGGCGTGCCGTATCAACGTCTCGAATGTACGGGCCTTGTATTTCCTCCACTCGGTAGTGTCTTCAACTTCTCCTTTCATCGGCTTCAAGAAGAGCACCATTGGTTTGCCACAGATGCTATGCACCGATATGATGATGGTAATCAAAATTGCCAGACTCAATTATAAAAAACGGTCTATAGCCCGTCGCGATCCGGGGGGTGGTTGCAGCAGACTCCCGTTCTGCTGCGGGTCGCTCTGTAGTGAGACGGTCGATGGAGACCAAGGCAGACGCGAGTTGGGACGTCACGACACTGGCGACCCTTATATGGAAGCTATGGAGGTTCTTGAAAAAAAATGAGTTAGGTGTGAATTCCAGCATATTTTATCCCTATGAACCCGAATATTTGAACCATTCATTGCACAAGTACTGTTAAACGCGAAAAACCGTGAAAAACCTGGCACTCTTCGTGACGTCATTGATGGAGTGTTCAGCTTCCCAGAGTCAAGAAGGCAGGGCTTCGGCCCTATCTTGAAATAGCTGTTATGGCTTTCCAATGCATTGAATTGAAAAATAATTGATATTGTTTATTCTAAATGCCAAATGAATGCAATTCAAGTACTTTTTTCTCAAATGCAGAACTGCTCTATCTTCCCTTCATGTGCCCTCACCATTTCTACAGTCAACTGCTGGCATCACAACATCCGACAGTGTGGCCAGACCGTCTAGCGACCGGGAAAACCGGGAATAGTTGGGGAAATTTTAAATACCAGGAAAATTCAGGGAATCGTCAGGGATATTGTCGAAAAGCGAGCCCAGTCACGGAAAATGAGGCTGAAACACCATTGAGTGCCCTGAGCAAAGACTTGAGGACAGGAAAATGGGCAATAAATTTTGCTTAGAGCAGAGCCAAGGCTCTGCTCACCCGATGTAGTGTGTGCTGCCCGATGCAAAGGGAACAGCCGACAGATCCAGTGCAAGCCTTGGATTGGATTGAGGGCGCAACACAACGCTAGATTCAGTTAGAGCTAGGGGTGAAATTTTGTCAAACCGGAATTTTAGGTCGAACTTTCAGGGTTCGACTGGTTCGAACCAGCTCGATGAACCTTCAAACTATTAACCAGATTCAACAGTTTCGACTTTGTGGAGAGTGTGGCTAGACCTTAATACAAACATTTCTAAGCTTAGATATTTTTTTCTTTTTTTAAGCAAAGGGTTATTTTGATTTTATGAACAGTTCCAATTTAAAGAAACTTATTCTAATCACTGAAGAAGTTAATAGCTTCATTGTTCGTACTGTATTAACTGGCCTTTAGCCATCACCATCCAATCCGAAGCCAACTGGCCAGCTTGTCGCGCATGCAGATAGCAATCGAATCTGAGTCGAACCTCTGTCGAACTTTTCATAAGAAGTTCGAAAAGGTCAAACCTGGTCGAACACGAACCTCGACCGGTTGGCAACATCCCTAGGTAGAGCTACTAGATTTAGTAACAAATGGGAAAGCCATAGACACCAATCCAATCCAAGCGTTAAGCCGAAAGTGTGCATCTGGCGGCCATGCTGCCATTTGGTTACTGACGTGTGTGGTTGAGTATCATGTTTTCATTGTGTTTCTGGAAGTGGCCCCTTCTCTGATGATGTCGGCTGCAAGAAAGTACTCATTTAATCCTGACTGGACGAACCTGAATATTTTGGAATATGCAAGTTTGATTAAGCCTGTGTAAAATGATAATCATCATCACAGAGCTCAATGCCTTGTGTTGTAATGGTCTTATATATTTACCTGCCTTTACAGTAAGGGAATTTCACACAAAACTGTCAGGGAAAACCTGGAAAAGTTAGGGAATTTGAAAATAATAATTATGCTAGACGCCGGCTCTTGCGACCGAATTTGTTGCCACTTCAGGACCAATTTTGATGCACTCAAGGGAAACGCACTGCTCGAATACGCATTCCAAGCGCCGTAGTTTGGGACTCCTTTGGCGAGATTCTGGTGTGTCGACGGCTCTCCGAAGGCCAGCTTGCAGGGGTGGAACGGCTGCGCCATTTGCGCCATTTTGCGCCAGACGCATTTGTCTGCACCATCCTGCGCCATGTTGCGGAAACTGCGCCACAGCCAATATCTCGCGCCATTATGCGCCAAATCGCAAAACGTGCGCCAAAAAATACTATTGTGTCCTGGTTTCGGTTTCTATCGACTCGATTGGCAACAATGAGCGTGTTTAGCTTAGTCGGTCTTGCAATCATTTGTTCTGTTTATTCTCCCTGTGTATCCCGAGTCGGAAGCGCGCGAAAAAACTCGGGGGTCGGATTCCAAGCACTACACCACCTGCGACTGGATTGTTATACTTCAACCATAAAGCGGTAAATAAGCAAGTCACCCGAGGTGAGGTCGAGTCGTTAAGCGTCAGATTGCCTGAGGCTCTGCAGCCCGGGATCTAGACGTCAGCCAGTTGAAAACGAATGAGCAGAAGATTCCTTTCAGTACTTCATCGTTAGAAGTTGGAACCGCATTTTCGCAAGATAAATCGGGATTTGATAGAACTGAAACGCGGTCCGATCCGAAACCTTGCCGGCCGGCCGCTCCAACGCGAGCGGTAGATCTGCTCGACGTACTTTATTTAACCTTGCTCCTGCTTATCGCTTCGAATAAGATAAGTCCGTAATCGTAGTCTGCTGCTTCGATATTGAGTTGCAATATAGGATAAACTCGAAATTTGTTGCCCTGTTCCTTCGCGCAACTGCACGTCCGTTGCTTACGCACGTCACCTGGTTCGCACATTAAATTACTATGTTGAACACGTGTGGGTTGTGCGATAAGCAGTGCTGGTTTTCATTTTGAGCAGCTGAAAGTCACTCGGAAAATATCAAGGACACTATCTTCAGAAACATATGGTACTTGCTTTTTGGTTCTCATTTAGGCTCACAAAGTTTGGAGTTTTTGCATCTCTTACCCTTTTATCCGATCAACCTAGGTTCTTAACCACTCATGTTCATCTGTGCTGCTGAGCACAGTTGAAATTGCTCCCCTTGCTTGCCTCAGACACAAGCTGAAGTGCAATGAAAACTGATCTGATCTGCTCCCAGCCTGCTCCAGAATGTAGTTTTAGCTGCTCCCAACCTGCTCCAAAACAGCTGTTTTAACTGCTCCCAACCTGCTCCAAAACAGCTGTTTCAGCTGCTCCCGTGGCTGCTCCCAAGTAAATTCCATGAGTTCCACCCCTGAGCTTGGCGTCCGTCGGGGCAAGCTTAAGATCACACGACATCTTTACGTGTTGTGTTCAACGGATAATGTTTTCGTTATAGTCCCTCATAGTCCCTAGGCCTTTCGATGTGTTTGTGCTTGCCTCACAAGTAGCAGCAAATGCGCCAATGCACGAGGCAGATGGCAGCGCATAAATTTTGTCGAGAGGTTTTACTCTAGTCCATGCAAGGGGTTCCTTGAGCACCTAAGTTCACTAGCTTCTCCCTACCCCCTTGTAGTTTTTTGCCCAGCTTCAGCACTTTCCTCGCATATCCAAGCCATTCATTACTGTTGACAATGTCCGACTCCTGAACTGTTTTTCTCGCAAATATGGTGGCAAGGGGTTCCTTGGCTAGCATTCAAACTGATAGCCGTTCAAACGCTTGATGGCTCTGCACGCCACTATGTCCGTCTCATTTTTATGCCAGAGCTATCCCTTCAGCACTAGGGTACTTTAGAGGTACTATAGTTTGTTTAACTTTATGCGCAACTGAAGCTCCAAGCTCGAGGGTGTTATCCTCAACGATGCTTTCATTAAACGAGCGTGCACGCTTGGCAGGGACGTTGAAAGGCTGGGGCTTGCTCTTGCGGCTCGTGCTCTTGCGGCCATACAAAGTATGGCGGGCCCGCCCTATCGTTCGACAGCGCCACCCGTGCTCCGATTCAAAAGACTCGTCGGCGTGCTGAGAGTTTAATCGCCCGTATCGCACGGCCCCCAACAGAGCTGTCACTGTGGGAGGACAGCCGAGCTGCGAGGGCGGAGGCGGAGCGACTGGAGCGGGCCCTGCTCCGGGGCCAGGCGGAGCTGGAGCGCCTGGAGCACGGTTCCTCGGACGCCAGTCCAGCTTCGGAAAGCGCAAGCGGCGGCACGGCTCCGCTGCAGGAGCAGGCCCGGCTCTGCCAGCAGGAAGAGCGGACGCTCCGCTCGGAGCTCACCCTCGCCCGCTCGCAGCTGGCCAACTGCGAGACCCGCCTGCTCCAGTGCCAACAGAGGCTGTGCCAGCTTGGACACGAGGTGAGACGGCCGGTGTGTGGACAGGGCCGTGCATGGGCAACCTTTTAATGCGAAAGCATTAACTGTCCCATGGAGCGAGCCGACATCATCAGCTTTGAAACCGCGCCAACACTCCTTTCTCCCAATGGAGCCAAGTGAAGCCGCGATCTGATGGCTCCCAGCTTTGAAGCCGTACAAAAAGCCTAGCCAAACGGCACCCAGTTTCCCCTCTCCCAATGAAGTGCAGTGAAACCGAAATCTGATGGTTAGGTCCCATTGGGTGGCGCGCGTCAGTTTCAAAGACCGCCACCCAATAGAGCTGTTGATTTTTTTATTTTTCTCGGTTGAGGCAGCTGTAATTTGTTGCAATGCCATAACTTCAGAAAAGGTTTCACACCTGTATTCTTAAAGAAAAAGCGTCGCTGTGCCACTCAGTGCCACCACGTTTCTCAAAACGTGACACGTGCGTGGCAAACTTGACAGTTGGATGTGGCGTTTCCAGCTGCATCCTTTGGTTTCGGAACCGTTGTTAGCATCCCCAAGATTTGTTCGAGAATCTGCATTTGCATAATTTGTGGCCTTTCAAAGGCTCACTATTGACCAAACATTAACAGGGTGGTAACTGAATGTACATTCTTCTCAAACCAGCGTGATGAGCAAAGTAGCATGTCAAAGCAAAGTGTCGAGCTGCCTTTATATGGCAACACCTGTTCGCACTGTCGACGAGAAATTTAGCTGGTGAATACAGCTGCCAAGATGGACTCTCACTTGCACCATGCAGAACAAAACAAACGAGTGTCAGTACAGTGCTACTCCAGATAGAAATGGGCAGGAGCAGGGATATCATTCTTATACAGTTGAAGCCTCGGTATCAAGGTATTTTAGAGTGGCACTTCCAACTCTGCAGCATGTGCAGCAAAAGCTTGCCGTGCAGATTTGGACATTGTGACCTCGATTTCTGCTTCTCTTGGTTTCGACGTGAATGGGTCTGGTACTGTTGTGCCTTCTGTGCTGTCACCGCTGCCTGCCTGGTGCATGTTGAGGACCCCAGGTTAGCGGTTCTGCCGCACTGGCCAAATTGCTCCTTGAAGATTCATCCGCAGAACCTTGGCAGTAAAGTAGGGAGGTACCAGTTCAGTACAGATGCATAATATTGACCTTTTGGCAGTGGTACGACGCTCCAGGGTTGAAGAGGAAACATTACTAAAGTGACGTGCAAGAACAAAACAAGAATTATGATGGAGTGTTTGTCTAGACCCTTTCCGGCATGTCTTGCAGGTTGCAGAAGAGCAGCGTCGTCGGCTACTGCTTGAACAGCAAATTCAGCAGCAGCAGCAACAGAATCAGCTGAATAACAACAACATCAACAACACCGTGGCCAGCAGATCAGCGGATAAGGCAACGGCAGAACAGCTGGAGAGGGAGTTGGAGTCTCTCGACAGTGCGCTCGAAGAACGGCGGCTAGTCTTGGATCGGCTAGCGCAAGATTTGAGGGAAGCCAACCTGCAGGCCCTGTCTCTTGCAGACGCTGACCACAAGCACTGGCTTGAGGCTGGTCAGTTTTCTTTTATTTATCTGTCTTTAGGTGAACTCCTAGATGCCTAAATTCGCTTTGGTTACAAAAAGGTTGTTCGTCGCAAATGGACACTCGTCCCGTCACTGTAAGAGAGACTGTATTGATAAGAGATGGGCATAATGCCGCAGTTTTAGTTTTCTGTCGTGTCTGTGTATTATTTGTGCGCAGTGTGCAATACCACAGTCATGCAACGGAACATTGGCATATTGTGTATCATAATCGCGAGTGGAGAGAACACTATCATGAAAGCAATTCTGTTTGTTGATTCTCAGAGCGTTCTTGTAGCAATTTTGTCCTTAACAGACAGCAAGAACCCTCTTGTGCAACGTCTTCGGGTTCAGTTAAATCAAGCGCTTCAACAAGGACACCTGATCAAATTCTGCTGGGTCCCAAGCCATGTGGGTATTCCTGGCAATGAGAAAGCAGACTTGCTTGCTGCCTCTGCAAAGGAATGCCCAAAACTGCCCTTTGGCCTGCCACACCAAGACCTGAAACTGTTCATACAGAAACTGATTATGAAGTCGTGGCAGCTGGATTGGGATATGGAAAACGAGAACAAGCTCCACGTTATCAAGCCCCTTCTGGGGGTATGGGAGAGCTCTTTTCATAAAGATCGTCACGTTGAAGTTCTTCTTTGCCGTTTAAGAATTGGGCATACCCGTTTGACTCACCTGCACCTGCTCTGCGATGAGGATGTTAAGCTTTGCGACAACTGTGGTAAAGCTGTGACTGTCTTACATATCCTGTGGCATTGTAAATCTTTAAATCAACAGCGCCGATTATGTTTTCCAGAACTTTTCCGAGATCACCTTCCTTTCCATCCCTATTTTCTACTTGGCGACCAACCCTTGGTGCCGTTCAATCGAGTTATAAATTTCCTGCATAAAACTGGCCTTTTACACCAGCTGTAGCCTGCAGTTCTTTTGGATTGCATCTCTAAGCTCCCTATAAAAACCTCTGTTTTGGCGCAATATGGCCTAAGTTGCTCTTGCGCCATTAAACCCCCAATAATCAATCAATCAATAATCGCGAGTGGAAGCTGACATGCCTGATCACACAGTCGAAATTAAGTACAGACAAGGCACACGTTAGTGATATGTTACTGAATGTTTTTCTAATCAAAGGCGCGTGCATGCAGGTGGCTTCTACAATCGTCCCGGCAGCACGCGCAAGATCGTCGGCTCACCACGACAGCTCGAAAGTGCGGTTCCCACAAACAAGAACCCAAACGGTGTCTGGGTGTGACGGGGGACCGAGAGATCACCGCGAACCCCCAAAGACTTTGTTGAATTGCATTCCTGCTAGAAGTTGATTTACGTTCACTCTTTTTAAGTTTCTTCCTCGAAGGGCCACGACCGAAAGGTAGACCACTGTTACCTCGCAAACGAACCTCGGAGAGTTTCTGCGTGCCGCACGTGCATTACGAGGGCACGAAGAGAGGCATTGGTAGTGGAATGAGCTAGTTCATGCAGCGTGCGCTGTTCGCGCGTCTTGTTTGAAGTGTGTGCCGTAGGCAAGTGGGTGGGAAAGCCATTGTTGGAGACGACAGAACGAGAAAGGACTATTTATTTCTCCCAATTCTTTTTTTCCTACAAGTTCCTTGGGGGGGGACGAGTAAGCAGTTGCAGCAAAACAAATGCATTTTTAGAAAAATACCAAGTTTTTATGTGGAACTGTTATTGTGTGGATGCATACATGGATATATAATCTTGATTGCCTGGAAGGCACTAACAGAATCTTACTGCTGACTTGGGTAAAGGATAGCGAAAAGTACAGTATTTTTGCCTGCCCCGCCCCACAATTTTTTTTTTTTTTTTTTAATTTACGAGTTTTATTGTTTAGTTTGCATTCTGTGGAACTCTGTTTTTTCTGTGCGAGTTTGGTACTGCATTCACTGGGCTTCCCAGTTTTCCGAATGCATTAGATGTTGCCCTTTCTTGCCTAATTCATTTTTGTATTGTCTGGTACATGCAAAACGTTTGCAAAAACTTTGTTGTTTGTGTTGAGACCGTCCTCATTCCAGGCATTTACGTGCCGTTTTTCCCACGGGTGATAACCAACCGGCATTTAAGAAATGACGGGTTTCAGGAGATTTCGGGGACAGAAAAAAACATGATTGCAGTGTCAAAAAAAAAAAAAAAAAAAACTCGAGACATGTTACTGTAGGGTACACGTAGTAACAAGACCTTGAAAGAACAAAATAAAAAAATTAAAAAATGCTGACAACATATGAAAACAAAACGTTATGTACAGAGTGGTAGTTTCCTTCCATTAAAAAAAAAACTATAATGTTCACACACCTTGACTTTTGTCTGCATGACAGCGAGAGAGTGGAGTTTTAATTGTTGCCGGGAAGCACCGGTCTCGGAGCCAAATTGACGAGACAGTTTTTTTCGCCGATGCCCGGTAGGAGACGCTGTATATTGCACGACAATTAATCAACATACAAACACTGTACAATGCTGTGCTTCTGTCGAGGGTAGAGGTTACACCGTCATGACGGGCTTCTTCACTTTGGCATCCAGCTGGACGTTGGTGCTGGCGTAGCCCGTGCCACCCTGGAAATGTAAACGCAGTAATGCCAGTCACTGTCCGTCAGTTTTAGAAACTCGAAACTGATCGTTCTAAGTGGTACATTGTTATATGTGGTATCGTTACAAGCGGATTGCACTGTACCATACAAATGTGCAATAAGCAGGGCTGTCGCATCTCCCCAACAATAAGGCAACACCAAGACCAGCACATACCCTCTGCAGAGGTATGATGTCTGCTTCGGTCAAAGTCTTGCCGTTGGTCGGATCGAGCCAGTCCTTCTTGAGCAGCTTCTCGACGCACTCCATGGTCACCACATTCCCACTGGATGACAAGAAAGGCGGTTTCTACGGTGCGGCACTCTTATGCTTGCCGCGACCAAATGAAAACTTACGACGTCTTGAGAGCTGCGCAGGGAACGGAGTTGCCCAGGATGTCGTGAGTGACCGCGCACATGAATCTGGCCTGGAGAATGCATCGAAGAATGTCAGTCTTTCCAGCAAGGGTTCTTCAGCCGGTTAGAACGGAACCGAAGCAGCATTTGAGCCTTCACACGCTCACGTTTGCTCACGACTAAGTTCTTGCAATCTCTTACCACGAGAGAATGAGCTGGTGCCGTCTATAAGGTGGCCCTGGAATGGCATATCACTAGAGCTAAGGTCTTGCAGTATTTGTGAGGTCAAATGTACTTGTGCGTAAGAAATGCTGGTTTATAACGTTAAGTGTTTACTGTCAATAAAAAGCATATACGGGAGTCGCAACTGTTCACAGCTACCCGATAAACGGCGCAAGTGTGTTCTCTCGTAAGAAATCGCGAAAAACTTTGTCATAAGCTGTCGCAAGTGCGTGAATGAGCCATAAGCACCACCTGCCCTGTCGCACATTTAAAAGATGTTTTAAGTTAGTTACACCACCCTGACTACCTGGTCTAATACCTCTGTCAGACGGGCACCTAAAAGGACCTTTACGCCAAAGGCCTTTAGGATTTTCCAATTACCTTTTAAGTTCTGCCGTGCCAGACGGTGCAAGTAAATGTCATTTAGACAGCTACAGCGACTGAAGTCTCGTAGCTCTTTCAAACGCATAACTCGCGTTCACGCCAGAAAAATAATATTTTGACAATATAAATAATCTTTTATGTTTTTCTTAAAGGCTGACCAACACACAGAGAGAAGGAAACTCCCTCGATTCCTCTGTTCCATTTGAGAAAAAGGGAGACCCTCCCCTTTACCGGGAGTAGTTCAGAGATCCGCTCCTGTGTGGAGAGGAGGGGAAAAGTGTGCGAGTTGGAACGAAGAGAATGAAACTGGGAACCGGTTTTTTTCCCCAGTAGAAGACGATTCTGTAGGTCGGACTTTAGCAAAGAAAATATTAAAAATGGCGAGTTCAGTCAAATGATTACAACGAAGTCCACTTTAAGCCCAAGCAAAGTGGTTTTTTGGCAATTAGTGGCAACCCTGAGCGTCTCCCGCTCACTCTGCTACCTGCTCACTCATTGGTGCTCCCAAGGAGGATAGAAGGGTAAGAGAGGGCATGACGCCAGCCGCGTAGCCTCCACAAGCCATGCTCCCTTAATGCCTCGCCTCTTTCTCATTTTCCTCACTCTCGCCACTTACCAGGGTAACGTGACCAGATCACGTGACCGTAGCTAGCCTTCGTCTAACCATGGGGTACTAGAATATACCAAAGCCTGGTTTTCGATCTGATAAAACCTACCGGACAAAGCGTGCGCAAGCCTGCAAGTTCTACAATCAACCGTCCGTCTAGCACGTGACATGTCACGCGCACCAATAGCCAGAGAGATCTACGGTCACATTGGCCACAACATCGTTTAAACGTTTTATGACTAGGCTTCACCAATACTGCAACGTGCCCTCTCCTAGTACTTCTAACCTCCTTGGGTGCTCCCGCTGCTTTCCGTGCTGCTGCTACGCTTTTGCCATTCGGTTGGGCGTCGTGCTCGCGCTTGAATTTCATTGCATGCGTCGGAAGTCCTCCAGCTGATCCTCCTAAAGTCTATCAGTGCCCAGGTTGCCTCAACGCTCCTCCACCGTTCGACACATCGCACGATGCGAGAGTGAGATACAGAAATATATGTATACAAAAAAATATTGAATATATACAGTACAGTTAGTAATACACTATTAAAGGATGATAAAATATAAGGTAGAGAAATAAAAGCAAGATAACCATGGTTTTAAGGATAATAGAGGGAGGAAAACCGAAGCGCACTATGCTGGGGCCGTGAGTACGGAAAACTATTAGTAGAGCCAGGTTGGTACAGAAAATGTGTGAAACACACTCTTTTTCAATAATAAAAATACAAAAAACATATTTTATATCGGTACAATCTTTTATTTCAATTCGCTTCTCTAATGTAGATCGCCGCTGACGAGAGTATGACTTTAGCAGCCGTTAGGAGTTGCGGGAACTCCGGTTCACGAAAAGTCCCTCTACAATGAATGTCATTTGAGTTGCCATGTAGCACTGCTTAAATGACATTTACACTAAAGGTCCTTTTAGGTGCCCGTCTGACAGGGGTATAACTCCAATTAGAAATGCGTGCGCTTGCAGGCATCCATTAGGCGACTGTCTATGCTTTGTGATGGGAGAATTGTCCATGGGGCTAGTGCAGCGGACCCCTTCACTCGCTTGGAAGAGGTTTGGGGATTCCCAATGCATTCTTCATCGAAGATCAAACGCTCTCAACCCGAGGGAATCCCCGGATTGTAGTTTCAGAACCGCCAGCCTAGCGTTTCCCTCCAGGATTCCACTGCCTTACCGGGGGTTTGTGTGCGGAGCTTGAAATACAGGACCTGCCTTTTTGGTGATGAGGGAGGCCTTGTCGTCGGGGTCAACGACCGGGGTGAACTTGATGGGAAAAAGATCCTTGGCTTTGATGGGACGGCCGCTCATGGGGCACAGCACCACGTTTTTCTGCGATGAAGATCGGAGGTCGTTACTTGCCGACACTCGAACCCAATGGAAAGAACAAAAGCCTGCACCACGTAACTACCTTCTCGTTCCTTTAGCGAACATCGCACAATCGGCCAGAGAACGCAGAAGCGCCCATGTATCGGAAGCGAACCGAGAAAACTATTTCAGGATGGCGGAACTTTCACGTCTCGCCTCAAAGAACAGCGACGTGTGTCTGTTGCAAAGGACAAACTAACTTTGGCTAGCTCAATGTTTGAGGCCGAGTTCTGCCCCTATCAAAGCATTTCAAATTGACATGTAGCACTTTGTGGTTTTGTGCGAGACTGGTTCGGCCATTAAATTATTTTCAAATACAAAACAAATAATCACTTCCAAATTTTTTTTTTTTTTTAATGGTGCAATTTTTAACTTTGTTTGACAAACTCCTTAGCACCTGTGTGTTCTTCCACGTTTTCAACCGAGGAAACTACAGGATGTACACTAACCCATCAAAGACACTTTATACGGTCTGCAAAACTCGGTTCCTCAAGATACTGTGCTGCGATTTACTACAAAGGTGCGGCTAGGTGGTGCAAGCCTCGGGTGAAAATATTAACAGATAAATTTACCTCGTTCAAAAAAGAAAAACCTGTTTCAGGCAATCTGGGGCAGCATTCGCAGACGACGTCGCGACCGTGCCCGCCTTGTGCGTGCGGCCAACTGATGGCACAGCGTGACACACGAGAGTATGCGACACCTTGACTGATCATCTCGGTACGAAAAATGGGGAGCCATGAGGAATTTAAATTCTTCGTGTCCTCTTTCTTTTTTTTTATTAATAAATTTTGCATTTTGAGGATAGCACATTAGAGAGACATGCGCCGGCAGAGCAAAAAGTTTTAAAACATTGTCTGCTAAGATCGGCGCACTGGCAAAGCTTCCTGCATCTGTCTGTGGCACATACCACTAGGCGAGCACGGTCACAACGTCGTCTGCAAACTCTGCCATGGATTGCCCAAAACAGGTTATTTTTCTTAACTCTTGAACGAGGTTAGCACATTCGTTGATATTTTCGCTCCAATCTTCCAGCATCTAGCCGCACCTCTCTACTAAATCGCTGCGCGATACATCGAGAAACCAATTTCTGTAGAAGTGGGTTCGAAGCGTTAGTTTATACGCCGTAAACTGATGTTGGACTGGGTTTGGTATGTTTTCTGCTAGTTAAAACAAACGGCCAACACCAGGCCCGCGCTACGAGCTCACCGGTTTGTCCATCTTTTTTTTCTCGGCGCTGGGCGTTAGGCAGGGCACCCAGAAGCTCGGCAGCTGGCCGTCCTTTCCGCTCGTCATGTTGGACACGCTTGGCTTCTCGTCGTCGTCCGCAAACCTGCTTCCTGCCGCGGGAAACATTTCATTCGTCTTGCATTCTCCCAGACACTTGCCGTCGAAGACTCGATTCACGGAACAGAATGCATGTATTGAGTCGTCGTCGAAGGGACTACTACCAAGTGAACTTTGTGGTGTTCGAACATGTGGTGGAGATGCAACAGGCAATGCCGACTCTTTCACAATCATGGCGAACAATTCTTCGCTGCAGACTCGCACTAGACAGCTCGTTATCTGACCAAACTACAGTCGCCAACCGATTCTTCGGACTTCGCAGAGACTGAAGAAAATCTGAAAAATCAGCAGATTAAAAAACTAGCCTTTATTACGTCTAAGCGGGCTTCAGAAAGCCGTAAATAGTGCCTTGCTTCAGGTTACACCTGTGTGCCTTGTCATAGGTTACACCTCCGTTTGCGTTCGGCAACTTTCTGTTAGCTTAAGAATTGCCGCTTTCTTTTCTACCGCTATGCGCTTCTTAGCAACATATCACAGCAGCGGAAGAACAGACGAGGCAATGACATCCAAGCCAGCGTAGTCCGAAAACACGATTCACCGAGACGAGATCCACATGAGAGGCGCAAGTCCACGACTGCAATGGCGAATGAACAAAGCAAAGTGTAAACAACAATGATGATGATAATGACGAGCAGCTAGAGAAAAAAAAAAAAGCTGTACAGCATAACCTAGCAGTAGGACTTAACAGTATTTAAGTAGCACTGCCAAACCAAGCCAATCCATGTGCAGCCAACATAAAATCCAAAATGGCCGCTTCTCAGTGGTGTTTCCCTCCGATTGCACGCAACGATTTTGTCCGAAAAACCTAACTTTCGGACTTCAAGCTGTCTGAAACATTGGTCGTGAATATGCACTATTTCTATCGGGTAAGTCACGGTTCCTCCTTTAGGTCCGAAATATTGAACTAGTCCGAATTATCGGCGTCCGAAAAATCGGTCGGCGACTGTAAGTGGCGAGAATAGATGTGACGTTTAATGCCTCGTAGGTAACGTTTATCTCGAGATCCTCGGAAAAACGTGTACAACATGCTCAGTGGACTAGAAAGAGAAAAACGCCGTCGTCTTCTCAAATCTAGCCATTCTATTTTTTATACCTCCTCATCTCGTCTCCTCTTTGATTGACCCCTCGGGACCAGAAATGTCCCCATCTGAAAGACAGCCCCCTCCCTCCAGATTCCTTTTCCTTCTAGCGATACAATATATGTCAATATGGTAGGCTTTGGCATTGTTTTAGATACGTGACGTGATATAAGAATCTTGATAATGGTATGGTGCCTGAAACCCGTCTCCGACTGGTGGGTTTATTGCGTCCAGAAATGAAGTCCCCCGATATCCGCCTGATGACGTCATAAGTGTCATGCTGTCGCCGGTCGCGACCCTGGCGATGTCCCAGCAGCTAGGGTAGATGTGGCAGACGCCTGTTCTGCTGCAGGTCACTCTCCATTGTGACAGCCCGCGGAAGGTGCAGCAGCAGGAAGTTGGGACGCCGTAACGTCAGCGGCACTCGTGTTCGCTCCTGCTACTCGCAGCTTCTCGTTGCCATTTCAACGACCAACCGCCAGGATCGCAACAAGCAACAGCACGACACTTCGGCCTCTGTGACGTCATTTGTTGCCACTTCGGGACCACTTTTGACGTACGGGCAGCAAGGACACTAAGCACAGCAGTCGAAGGCGCGTTCCAGGCACTATAATAACGATGAAGTTGGTGAATGGAGGCGGGTACCCACCGTTTGCCGATGCCAACGGCGTGCTGACGATGGTGCTTTCCTTCTTCACAAAGGACTGTGCTTTGGATCTCTGTTCTGCGGCAGCGAGTTCCGCCAGCTCTTTCTACAAGTGGAAACGAGCAACCTCGAGTCGCAGCAATTGACGGCCAAACTGGAGTGGTGGCCATTAGGGCCACCACTCCAGCAAAACGCTGCACAAGCAGTAGTTAATAGGGCACATGAAGAGAAGCTCTGGCGGCACGCTAAATGCCAGAAAGAAGTCGTCTCTACTTTAATCGCACTTACTATAGACTGTATCTTCGATCGAAAATTAAGTCATGTGTTTATTATACAAATGCGCGAAAGGGCCGCTCTGATGCCAAAAGTACATCAGTCGTACAAAGTTCTTCTAGAGTAAAAAAGTCGGTCAGCTTTACAATTTGACAGGGGTAAGTGTAAATTGTGCGTATAATGTCTAAATTATATTCTAACTAAATTGCTGCTATTTGCGACCCCTCTCACGGCGGAGACAAGAAGCGCTCTAGTGAGGGTCCCTCGATTCTCAGGCTCAGAGGGCACGGCAGAACTGCTCGCGATCATGGCTCACAAAGAGTGGTCTCTGAATGCAAACAACACTCTTCGCTGTCCCAACGTAGCGCTACAACCGGTGTGGGATTGCACCCTTTTAGTATTGCGTATAGATGCAATCGCAAGAACTGTGCGTTTGCGTGCTCCACGCTGATCATGCACGTCGTCGCCAAGTGCCAAACCAATGCCATAATTTTGGCCTCTGCACACACACAGTGTGGAACAAACAATGCTAACGCAAACACACAGTGCTTGCATTCGCCTCGTATATGCAGTACTAAAACTCACTTTTGTTTCACTGGTTTTCCAACGCCAACGAAACGTGCTGCAGTGAGCAGACGTGCAAGTGGGTAGGCATTCCTTCAAACTCAAAAGGCTGAGATTGGCAATACGACGGCGCATAAAAAGGAAAGAAAGTAAATGTTCTGGGAAGTTTTGTAATGAAAGGGAACGATGGAACAAGTTTTTCATATTTCGGGGCATTCGGTCCAGAAGAAATGGCGGCAAATTCGGAAGTTTTGCCGATGGTCACAATAAAGTCGCAACTCTGATAGCCCACAATTCATGACATTTTACGTGGATTTCTAAGACCAGCTAGAATGTTTTAATTGATTTTAGACCATTTTTATTTCATAACGTGATAGTTAAACATGCTGGAACTTTCACCAGGTATAGCAATTTGCCCAATTTCGATTATTTGCACGTTTTAAAATAGGTCATAAGCAATAAATTCTATCAGAGCTTGAAAAATTATGTAATAAAGTGTCTTAATTGTATTATTATCATTAATGTAAATTGCAGTAAATACCACAATCACAAAAAAATTGTCTTTCAAGAAAGGTCTCGTTTTGTTTTTTGTCAGTTTTGTAATGTGCATGTCGGGCTTAGAACTATGTATCACCTCATCTCTCCTCTTCTGGGCTTCGTACTCCTTGAGTAGGCGCGCATTTTCGGCTTTGCGGCGTATGATGTACTCCAAGATGGCCTCCTTGTCAAACAAGAAACCGTCGGGCCTGCGAAAGGATAAATGTCACTCGCTCGTTGCAGACTTTCGGCTTTCGTTGCATGGTACAACATGGCTGTCGCACTACATTTGCCCCAAGAAAAGAAGACGCATGAATGTACTTTTTATCACTCGGGTGGTTTGCATTCTCTTGCCAATGGTTACCAGCTCTCACAACCTAAACAAACTATGCAAGTGTATAGGGCATCCTCGAGCGCTATCGAGGTGTAAAAATATTTGCGCAAATAAACCAATGAGCAGACTGCATTGAAACTTTTCACAAAGGTGTCTCTGGGTGGTGCATTTATACTACTAAACTTCTATCACTGTATGTTGCAAGAAAAAGATTAAGCGTAAAAAAAAATGTTTTTCCTGTGCACAGGAAGGAAAGCGGCAAAAACCGTCTGGTTAACGCCGCTACTCACAGACAGTACCACGCACGTTCGGATCTGCTCGATCTGCTGTCAAGTGTTCATCTCAAAAAAGCTTTTGTTCTTGCTTTATGCTGCGTCATTGGCGAATAGCAACATCAACTAGGTTTTGGACATTTTCCTCCCTGTGCATAAAAGAAAAAGAAATTTTTTAGGCTTAATTTTTTTTTACCCCTAAAGCCTGGATTTAGAAAGTTTTAATATGATAAATACACCACCTGAAGACACCTTTGTAGAATGTTTCAATGCACTTCATTTATTGGTTTATTTATGTCTGTCTGTCTGTATGTGTGTATATATATGTGCAACTATGGTTATGTGTATGTATGTATGTATAATATGTTGTGTGTTTGTATGTATGTGCATGTATACGCTCCGTGCGGGAACTATAGGGGGCGCTTTCAAAAACGCGCGTAGCGCCACTAGCGGAGGAGCTGGCGTTCGACAGTGAGGCGCGCTCAGCAGTCTGCGGCGTCTTTTCGCGTGCGAAGCTGTGGCGGGGGAAGCGCGCACGGACGGAACTTTTGCTTTTTGAGCCGATAAGTTGAGGGTGACGTTGCATGAGTGCTGCGAGAGATTTGAGAAAGGCATTTAGGCTGTTCTCCCATCCTTATATATTGAGTTTGAGTTGTAATTTGGGGTAATTTCTTTAGTTGTGGTCGAAAAAGGGGTTTGAGAAATTTTCCGAAGAGCAAGACGGCCGCCACCATAATTGCTCTCTGTGGGAAATTTGTTTCGCTCGTCGCTGTAAACGTAGGACTGCTGGGACGATGATATTTGGAGGTGAGTGAGATGTTCACTAAGTGGGCCAAGTTTTATTAAGACAGCAGGTGTGAAAGTTATCGTTCTAATGAATAAAGGAATAAAGCTGTCAGGAATATCCAATATTGGATCCAAAATCTTGTGTTATAACCGGGCTGTGCGAAGTGCAGATTTGGACACACAGTTTCTTGGACATGACCGTAACTTGACACAACAGTTATAATATCAAAAATAAGTGGCATAGGGAAACCAGGTGGAAATTAGGTTTGGGCGGCGTAACTGAATGGGAAACGGTTTTGACCGTGAAAGGGCTGTGAAGAGAATACCACTGGCCGTTGGAGATGGAGACTTTACAGGTAAGAAGAGACTACTGCACTGTACTTCCAATTGAAGCAACTTTACAAAAGGTGGCTTCAAAGCTGAGAAAACCAAGTTTGCCGGCCAATTAACACACGGTTTGGCCGTCAAAGGCTTTTGCGGTCAGCTGTTGTGTAGTAATCTGGTTGTGCGAGGGGCTGATTTTCAGCACACAGATCTTGGACAACCGTAACTTGACAAAAACACTTATTATACCTAAAAAAGATGGCATAGTTTAACCAGGTGGAAATATTTTTGAGCGGCGTAACTAAATGGGAACCAGTTTTGACCGTCAAAGGCTGTCAAGAGAATACCACTCAATATGGCCGGGAGGTGCACACTTTACAGATAGGAAGGTACCAGTGGACGGTACTTCCAGTTCAAACAACTTTGCGATAATTAACTCTAAAGCCCAGAAAAAAAAACTTGTCAACAAGACACGGGGTGTCAATGTTTCCACATCCAAAAGGAGGCCGATCAAAAAGGAAAGCACACCACATAAACTTCCATACTCAAACATCGATTGTCCATTCATTCCAAGTTTCATTGTAGTTTTCCTTAGATTCATATTGGTCGCTTTTTGTACCGTCCGAATCTTTCTTCATGAAGTACAGACTGCGTGCCATACTGGTGCGGAAATATCATCGCCACGTACGAGGAGGACAAAACTTCCTTGGAGGGCATTCCTTCAACGAAATTCGCACTGCATACCCGTGAATGTGGGATGGCATTACTGGTACGAAAACAAACGCAGAGCGCAAAGCGGCAGTGTAGAATATGTCAGCCGTGCCGACACAGTGGCAGACATGATCCGGAGACCAAATTTCTCGCGTCTTACGCGACCGGTCCATCGTTGTCGCTGTCCCACAAAACATCGACGAGGTGAAAAACTGTGAAACTTCGTCCCCACAAGATACGACGCATAAATATTGGAGCACTTAACGACGCAGCAGTTCATGCTGTCAACCCAACGCAACCGCACCACTCCGACTTCAATGCGTACCAGTGTACGCGGCGTGGTTTCGTTTCGCTGGGACTCTCACTGCCTACCTTCGGTAACGGCCGCGCGGCGGCGCGCCGGTCGCGTCGCACGGAGTGTATATGTGCATATATATATATGTGTATGTATGCATGTATGTGTATATGTATATGTGTATGTATGCATATATGTGTATATGTATATGTGTGTATATACATATATATATATATATATATTGTGTTGAAGCATCTTAGAATATTTTGGATAGTTTTCCTTTTCTTGTGTACAACTTCCCAATTTCTTTTACAGGCCAGTGCTATTCTTTTTTGATGTATTGCTGATAGTTGTCTGTTGTTCATTGTTATGATGAAAGTACCTTGTATTATTATATAATTTCTTGTGTTCTTTTAAATGTCTTTCTCACCACTGTATGTACCTGAGGGGGCTGAGGACCAGTCAAGCTGCTTGGACAGCTTTTTTTCCTCAGCTTCCACCATGCTTATACATGGTAAATAAAGCTATTATTATTAATATTATTATTATTATTATTGAATTGCTTTACATCCGAATAATGCTCGAGAACTCCCTGTACAAGTCAACACACTCAACTGCTATTTCCCATGTGTCTGGATGATTCTGTATGTTTCTTTAAAGCCGTTTGAAACTAAAACAAGCTCTAAACCACATCTCAGACACAGCAAGCAAATTAAAGCATGTGAAGAAAGTGTAAGTAAACAGGCGAGCTGGTTGATGTTACACATGTTCGAAAAACCCTGAGACAACGAACGAAGAAGGGGAGAAAAACAAAACGTCCGAGACGTTTTGTGTTTGTCCCCTTCTTCGTCCATCGCCTACAGTTTGTTCAAATATGAGTTAAAGCATGTCCTTCATATCATGTCTGTGGTGCAGCGTTGAGGCACGCTGAATATCCTGACGTACGTGATGACAGGATTCCGACATGGCTGCAAGGACAGGCAGCAGCAATCAAAGTCTTTGACCGCGTCCTTGCCCAAGCGCATCTTCTGGGTCCCATAGCCGCACGTCTGCGTGTCCTTCTGTTTCTCGTGGTAGGTGTACACCGCCCCAGCAGTGCAGTTGCGAGCATGACGAGTCATCTTAGCTGTTTTTCGGGATCAATCTGAGGAAGAAAGAAAAACATGTCTCTTGGAACACTGACGACCCTTGTACGCTGATCTATAAAAGTTAGGGCTATAAAAGTTAGGGATAGTTATGGGAAAAATCTCCGCTGAACATTTTTAGGAAGAGCTTCGCCTAGATTTCCGGATGTTTTAAAATTTCGGTCGGACATGGATGGTGCGGATTTTACTTGTAAGCGTTCTAATCTCACCTACTCCTTTTTTTTTCTGCTGTTTTGTCTAAACAAATTGCAGATGAGACATGTCTTGACAAATCTTTTTACTTTCTCCTCGGTATTTGGTGCCCATAAAATATATCTCTCCTTCGCCCACAGTACATTTCTCCCATTGTACATTCCTTTAATTCTACACCTTTTGATACATGCTGAGAGTTGCCGTTGGATACATCCAAAACTCAGAAGAGTAAAGCTATACGCACTCCGGAGTGCGCTTCGGACGGAAATGGCTATACGCACTCCGCTTTTCTCGTATAAAAAGAGTGGACACAACGAGCTTCCTAAGCGGTGCCATGGCGTAGTGGTTAGGGTGTCCGCTTCATACGCAAGTGGGCGCGGGTTCGATCCGCGGTGTGCCTACTTTTTTTTTTTTCTTTTTTTTTCTCAAACATTTTGTTTTGTTGAGGCATTTGGCGATATTTACGACATTTCCTTTTTTGCAATGAACAGTAAAAAAAAAAAAAAAAGAAAAAAAATCGAATGTTGTCGAGAAACTTTGCAGAACTAAATGGTATCCGACTCCCTTTCCGGAGGTGCGATCGGGGACAGCGGGGCGGCGGGGCTTGAATTGCCGGCTGGACGCCGCGAAGCGGCGTGCACTGGTTACGCTTAGTAATTAGCAGCCGATACTGTCGCCGCGAAGCGGCGTGAACGCAGGCGGGGGGCTGTGTTAACGAGCGCCCCAGTGATTCACGCGCCGTTCGAAAAGGGTGGCCCGAGCGGCATGATCTCTCGGAGGAGTGCGTATAGCCATTTCCGCGCGAAGCGCACTCCGGAGTGCGTATAGCTTTACTCATCTCAGAAATATTTTACTCGAATCTTATTTTAAACGGAAGCACCTCTTGTGTCACCTGCCGTACTGATCGCCTTGTTGGTGAACGTGTACCTTTCGCCGCAGATATGATATAATTGTCACTTTCAACCATCGCAAGAACGCCATAAATTATGTCAGGTACTTGAAACACAAATGATACCGACCAAGGCACTGACTGTCATCGAAGATTTGGATGCACATGCGGACCGGTAAGATAGATTAGTTCAGCTTGTCTGAGCAACTTACCCGCTAGCTTCGTTACCTTCACCGCCGATCTGATGCCTCAAATAATGCGTTTGCGCTGCTTTTAAGAATAAAAAGCACACGCTACGTGACCCCAAACTATGGTGTACCCAAACTACACAAGCTGAACGCCAAAATGGCCGTGTCGATGTTGACTACGGCTTGGATTGGATTGAACCAGATTAACCTTTAAGAGGAAGTTTCATGTGTGACGAAAAAAATCCCTGGAGAAAAAAAACAGGGATTAATTTCGTCATTCTTGTCCGGCTCGCTTGCACCTCTGCATTTAATTGCATTATAATCAAATCTTATGTGTTTGTCCTGTTCGCCCGTGAGGGGACGCTACCAACGTTGAATGGATGGATGAATACGGCTGAGCCCTTTGGATCGGGCGGTAGCTTACGCCACCTAGCCATTTTGTTTTACCATTTAAAGGATTCATGAAACGAATTTTAGGCTGGAGTAAATCAATTTATATTGGGATTTTACTAATAGCACATCGTTCAGTGGGCCTAAAGAACAAAGGTAGAAAGTCAGAAGCCTGACTTTCGCTACGAAAATTTGCAAAACATAGCGGACTATTTCGTACCTCCTTCCCTTCGTAAACTCTCCGCCTTTTCACTGTGATACATCCGCGGACCCCGCAGCGCGTCACCGGGCTACTAGCCACCATAACCGGGCCCCCGCAGCGCGTCACCAGGGCCCAAGCATCCCTTTACCCCTAAGCTGACATTGCGGTGGAAGCTACGCGCTTGCCGGACCAATCAGCCGTCTCCCTTTCATCACCTGACCTCATTCTCTGCGGGTCGGTATGCGCGAGAGGGCATGATCACGTGGAATTGTGTGGCTGGCCCAACGAGCACGTAGCTTCCACAGCACTGTCAGCTTCGGGGTGAACGGGGTGGGGAAAGCAACTAGTCGGAATTTTGAGCGACGGGCTAATCTTCTAGGGGGACAATGGCTGTGTCCGGCTAGTCAAGCGAGATTCCGAGCAAGAGGGGACTCCCCCCTTTCCGACTTCTTGAACTGTTTGGTACAATGCGCGATTTATGAGTTGAGGAGGAAAGCTAAACAGAAAAAAGTTGAAAAAGCGTTTCATGACTCCTTTAAGCTTAGAATATTTAAATGTGAAATCTATATTCACTCCGCAGTGCAAAGAAAGTGAGGCTTTGAAACCCCCTTGCCATCAGTGGATAAGAAAATACCTAGTTTTCTCTCGATTTCTGCCACCATTCACTTAATCTTTGCTTGGTAATCTCTACAGTCTTGAAATCCACTCTCCCTTCGCTGTCTCTAAAACCCAATGACTTTATTAAATCTATGTTGTCTTCGGTAGGCATAGGGTGAAGCCCTTTACAGGGCTTCACCCTATGCCTACGTTGCGGTTTGCAGACGACGCGCCAGGCGGCCGGCGTTTCGTCGTCTACTACGCGGTTGCTCGCGAATTACTGTTTCCAAGTCCAGCTTGTTTTTCAATTTTCTAAATGGTCAGCACACAGTTATGCTCAAAAAAGGAAGAGGAGCACATCAAGCAAAGCTATGTAGCAAAGCTAAGGCCTGAAATATTTTTATGCTCATAGGCAAGTCTTGTTACTTGTCCGGGAGATTTGGCGCTGGCTGGCGTAAATGTTGAAGAAGTGACAAAAAACGACAAATTCACGTCTATTTGTCCAATGAATGCGTCGTTTTTACATAATCCACGGCGCTTTACGAGGGGTTTGTATTCGCGAACCACCCCGTCCTTTTTTCTTTTTCTTTTTTTGTTTTGTTTTTAATAGTGCGGTTTTAAAGGTTGTATGTATGGGCCAACGGTTTTTCTGTGATACCGCAACCCTCCAGGGTTTAATAAACATTATAATAATAATGACAATAATAATAATATTACTATTATTATTATTATTATTCCATGTCAACATAAGGAGCTTGCGCAAGCACTGGGATGAGTTTAGATTAACCGTAGATAGCGTGCTTCCGATAGCTGATGTGCTCATCCTCACAGAGATTAATATCCATAGTGACGACATTGGACAGTTTTTGTTACCCGGATTCAACAATTCCTTTTATACTCGCGACAAAAAGCGCGGTGGTGGTATTGCTGTTTTTCTCAAATTCACATCGTTATATTCGGAAATTTCTGTATCATTCCTATCGTGTGAGTCACTGGCGTTACGTGTCTTTACTTCTACATATGAACTCTACCTACTGGCAATTTATAGACCCCCTTCGGATAGCATTCCTGACTTTCTCTCCGAACTTCGCTGCTGTATACAGTCGTTGCCACTCACTGCACCTCTTTGTCTTACAGGAGACATTAACATTGACCTCTTAAAGCCTTCCAAATCCGCCAGATTGAAATAGTTGACCGTCAGAGATTTGACAAGCATGTTTCCGATTATGACTGGGTAACATTCCAACGGGCTGTATGTCCTTCAGAAGTATATTCTTCCTTTGTTGAACTCTTCCATAAGTTTGCTAACGCATCAAAAAAAGTAATTTTTTTAAAGCAGAGGAACTCCAATTTACGCTGGCTTAACAATGACATATTAGCTGCAATTAAACTTAAACAAGTTGCTTGGAAACGCTGCCGGCGCTCACCACACAACCAAAGCCTGCTTGTAGAATTCAGATCTATCCGCAACAGAGTTAGCGCACTCATTCGCTCTGGTAAACGGGCTTATTTTCAAAAGCAGTTTTCTGAATCTCGGAGCAACGCTGTTAAAACCTGGTCATTGATTAACGAATTGCGCGGTGTCTCCCCGCGCGTGCAAGGAAGCATTTTAAAAGACACCTTTGGTATTAAAGGGACACTGACACCCCCCAAAATTTTTTTTAATTTTTTGCCAGGCGCTTTATTATGGTGTCGGAGGACTACCCAATTAATATTTTGCAACAGAGTAGCGTATTTTTTTAATAAAGCCAAAAGACGCAACTGCTCGAAACCGAAACCGAAACCCGACGGAGGTCGGAGAAGTGGAGAGAAGAGAGCGAGTGGCGGAAGTCACGTGGCTACACCCAACAGTGTTTTTTTTTTTTTTTTTTTCTCCTTTTTGGTAGCAGACGACATGCGGCGTACGGGAACTGTTCGCCGTGGGATTATTTTGCAGTTATGTATGTTCCGCTCATTGTTCTGTACTCCGTGATGAGTTGTTTTGTACATTGAGAACTTGGAGATGAGTAGTGTGTGCCCGTGGTGAATTTTGATCGGCTCCGAAAAGAATACACCCAAGATGTTGCGTGAAGAGCTGGCTCACATATCCTGCGTCCGAAACAGAAGTGGCATTGTGCGACAGAGTTTGCGAAAGATCAACGGGATCGGGACCGATGGTTGGCTGCAATTCCTGTAGACCATTTACGGGCACCTCGGGAAGCGGACGCTACCTGGTTTATATGCTCCTTGCATTTTGTGGAAAGTGATTACATTGAGTTTGCAGGTGGCAAAAAGGAAATCCCATACCATTTAATTCAGCGACGTGTCGTCCACAACATTTGTTTCTTTTTTTTTTGTTTTTTCAGTGATAATTGTAAAAAAAGAAAAGAAATGTAGACATCGAAAAACATACGAAAAAAAAAAAAAAGTTTCACGGGGGATCGAACCCGATCCTTCGACGTGTAAAGCGGACGTCTTTCCCACTAAGCTACTGGGGCATATGGGAACTGGGGGATCTCTTTCCTTAGTAATAATTCAGCCGATAAACTGTAAGTTGGAAAGTTTGTTACCGATTTTCCTTTAGCGAAAGCACTCCCAGGTCGAAGTCGGGATGCACCCCGCATTGGCGACATTCTCACCTTGTAAAGAAATCGTACGCGTGCATATTCAACTCGAAGTAGACACGTCGTGCTTGACGTTTGCGCAAGCGATGTCTTCAGCCACGAGAAGGGAGCGACGGCTCGGCGACGTCTTCGTGCAAATCGGCTTGGTGGTCGGGCGTGTCGTACGGGATGAAGACCAATTGTTTTGATCAGTCCCAAATTTCACTTTTAAAGGCAGACAAAATTCTCCGGTACCGCGAACGACAGTTCTGAAATAGAGGTCCCACGCCCGTCGTCCGTTGCCATCGCGTCCCTGCGAGTCCCACGATACGCGAAACGACGCACGCACAGAATGCTTCCGGTTGTCTGTGAAACTTTTTTTTCAATCGACGTATTTGCAGCTTTTTAGAAGCCACAAAAAATGGGTTTCATATTTTTTTCTATTTTTAATATTGAGTGTGTGCCTTCAGTGACCCACGACTTTGATTAAATTTGGTGGTCGCATCGATACCTTAGAAAACGGCCCGTGACCGCGGAAAAGAGAGTGAGCGAGACTCGAACCGGCCAGTTCTTGATCGGCGGTTTTCAAGCGGAAAGAAACCAAATTTCGAGCCGCAAATTCTGTTCTGGGTAGTTGAGCTCTCATATGTCACGTACAACTAAAAACCTCGGCGAGCATAAATACCCTGTCAGTGTCCCTTTAACTCACTCGCTGCTGCAAACCGTTTTAACGATTTCTTTGCTTCTTTTTCCGGAACAGCCAAAAAAAGCTCAATGTGTTCATCTGTTCCTAACTCGAACCCTGCTTCCGCTTTTCTCCCTTACATGACAGCAAACGACTTAGAATCTATAATACTGAGCCTCAAATTGAACAAATCCCCTGGAATAGATAAAATACGTATTAGTGATCTTCGAAGAAATGTCACTTACATTAAGGATACACTCCTTTTACTTTTCAACAATATAATCGAGACTGGTATCATACCCCGTGAATTAAAAACTGCTGTTGTCAAACCCCTATTTAAGGCAGGTCAGAGAAGTAAGGTAGAAAACTATCGCCCAATATCTATTTTGCCATGTCTGGCACAAATATTAGAAAAATATATTTACATGACGATGGCATCCTTTATTGATAAATATAAAATTATGTCTCCGAGTCAGTATGGCTTTATAGCTGGCCGAGGAACACAACCTCTCTTGGACACGTTTTCTGATGACTTAAATTATGGCTTTAAAAATAACTTGTTCACTTGCGCATGCTTCCTTGACGTGTCAAAAGCGTTTGATACAGTTAATCACTCTATACTACTTAGCAAAATTTCAGCCATAGGATTTCGTGGACCTTTCTTGTCACTTTTAGAAAATTTTCTGCTTGGGCGCACACAGTTGGTTTC